GCCCCCGAGAGCAGCGAGTCTGCCCCCACTGCCACGACGGCATTGAAGATGCCCCCCACATGCTGCTCACCTGCCCCCTTTACGCCCCGCTGCGCCTCAACTTTCCTGACCTGTTTGCTGAGCCCCATCCTCCCCACCGCTTCCGTCCGCCAGAACCGTGCCGCCTCGCCGCCTTTGCTGCCGCCTGTCACCAGCGCTGGCTGACCGCCACCGTTGCGCTGCCTGCAGTCCCGCCCTGAACCCCCACTCTCATGTCCACCCCCTTTGCTCTTACCGCACCACACCTGCTCCACGACATGCAGTACTGCCTGCCCGCTCACACACTAAACGCTCGGTGACCTGTCAGTTGGCCTGTCCTGCCTGTTGTTCTACTGCTTCATCCCTCCTTGCTCGAACAACAAAGTCTGTGCTGCAAGCTTGTTCTTGCTGAAACCAGACTGTAAGCCCACACAAGCCACAAGCCAAGTGCAGGCAGCAGGCGACCAGCACAGCCAGCGCGGCGAACAGGAAGGCGTCGGGGGCGCCTCCGGGCACGCTGCAGCAGGGGCAGGAGTAGAGATGGTGGCAGTGGCTCTAACCCAGTCCAGAGAAGCCGCAGCAGGCAAATGGCCTCCCCAGGGCAGGCCCGCTTGGCCAGCAGGCAGCTCGGCAGGCAACCTGGCAGCCCAGGTGGCCACGTGCCGCCTGTTGGCCCATGGCCAGGCCAGGCTGCCTCACCTGCAATAGTTGAAGGTGGCTGGGTCGTCCAGGCGGCGGTCGTAGGTGGCATTGGCACAGAACTCGCTCTCTGGCACCTGCCACCCACTGGCGGCCAGCGCCAGGGGCGGCAGCCAGCGCGGGAGCAGCGAGCCGCCCAGCATTGCTAGCAGCGCTGACGAGTCACTGAGTCACGAAGCGAGAGCAGGCAGGATGGAGAGGGGGAAGCGTCATGTTCGGCGCAGGCCTGCAGGGGAGGCGTGGGGCGAGTGCACAGCGCCGCCGTCGGCTGCTCCGCCCTCCACCCAGAGCAGGCGTCTGGTGGCCCTGAACGCCTCAGGGAGCGTGTCCAAGGGCAGATCCCACTTGGGGTCTCAGGTTGAGGCTACCGAGGACCCAGTGGGGAGGGAACCAACCTCTGGACTCACTCAGGGGGCCAAGAGTGGCGTGTATCGCCTTGGACAGCGGAATGCCAGCCAGGAAACAGCAATTCAGACAGGGTTAGAAACTCTCAGCACTGTGCTTTCCAGTCTGAGCTGGCCGATGCCAACAGGCTTGCCTGTTTGTTTCTCACATTGACAGCAACCACTCAAATTGATTAAATCATCTGATTAGGTGTAAATTAGATCGTCTGTTGGCAAGGAGGGGGCCCATCCTGGGAAGCAATAGCGGTCGGCGGCGATCGACGGCACAAAACACCGGCGAGACTGAGGCGCAGCGGAGTTTGGGCCAAAAGAAAGATAGAATTCGATAGAATCCAAGCAAGGATGAAGGAAAACTGAGGGGGTTGAGTCGAATGCTGTAGGGATGGACAAGCTGAGAGAGGGGCAAAGACAAAGCGTGGCTCCAACCAAGCGCGCAACCTACTGCGCCTGCATGCGCGCCGCCGAGCCGGACGCCCCGCTGGCGCCGACCCCGATGCGGCCGCTGCTGCTGGTGCTCTTGACGGGCGCGGCGGCGGTGCCGCTGGTCGCTCCGCTGGCGCTGTCTTGCAGCCCCGAGATGAACTTGATGCTTCGCGCCGCAAAGCGCTGCAGCAGGCCCCATTGCACATCCGAAATCAGCTCCTGGGCGCCAGGCTTCTCAAACACGGCCTGCAGCCGTGGCGCCGACTCCGACAGCACCGCCTGCAGCTTGGAGATGTACTGCTGCACCTCCGCCGGACCTGCACAACACAACACCACACCAACAGGCATGGAGGCAGCGCATCAGGGTGAGTGCTTGCAGCTTCCAGCAGCGGTGCTGGCAAAGCAGAGCTGTATGCTCCCTCAACCCTTATCCTGGGACAGGTGAGGGGATGGGCGGAGTTGGGGCAGAGGAGGAGGAGGGAGGGGCGCTCACCTGGCAGCCCAAACAGCCCCGTCGACACCTGCGGCATGGCCACGCCTCGCCCTGCGCCGCTGGTCAGCACATCCCACAGCAGCCGCGACCGCTGCACGCTCTGCCGCTCGTCAGGCTGCGCAGGCACGAGGCGCGCCGCCAGCGCCGCGCTGCCGCTGCGCTCCTGCAGCTGCTGCCTGCAGAGCGGCGGGCGAGGCACAGGGGGGCATGAGGAAAGCAGTTGCTGCCCAGCTGGTGGAAGCGGCAGGTCCAAGTTCAGGGTCCCATCAGCCTCCCGCAACTCGATGCGTGGTAGCATCATGCCCGCTCGCTCCCGGACACACACACAGACACGTACACACCAGATAGAAAAGGCAGACACAGACAGACAGAAAGGCAGGCAGACATGCACAAACTGAAAGGCAGGTGCACACCCACAGCCGCACCTGACGTTGCTGGTGATGGTTGCGTCCACCAGGCGCACCAGCTCGGAGGCCAGCGGCTTGCGCACGGGGCGCCCGCCCTCGCTGCACACCCACTCCGCCAGCAGCCACAGCTGCGCACGGGGAGGAAGCAGGGCGCAGGGGTCCAGGTCAGGAGGGCAGGGGGGTCCAGCCTTCCAGCCTGCAACGCTGATGCGGCCTGCACCGCTTCCAGGCAACGCTGCCTGCACCGCCACCTGCACCGACACCGGTTGACACCGCCTGTGCCGCATGCTTGTACCGCTCCCGTGTACCCCCATCCGCACTGCTCCCTTGTACCGCATGCCTGTACTGCTGCCCTGCACCGCACCTGCGCCGGGTCGTAGTCCTGGCTCTTGCTGCTCTCCTCAAACAGGTTCTCCAGGCGGCTCCACCGCATGCGCCCGTCCACAAGGATGAGGTCCTCAAAGGAAGCCCTGCGGGGGACGGCGGCGGTGGGCACGGCGCGCAGGGATGCAGGGGCTCAGGGGCAGCAGGCGTGGAGGAGACAGCGGGATGCCATGCTCAAAGGCAGGAGGCTGGGACATGCAGGCCGGTGCGCATGCCAGGCGAGCCTACGAGCAGAATCAACCGCCAGCCGGCAGCCCGGCACAGGCAGACGCCATGCAGCACACCGCCGGCGGTGGCGGCGAGCTCACCGCAGCTCCGGGGCGGGGTCAGTGAGCAGGCGGCGGGCCATGTAGGGGTATGCGCGGGCGATGAGCTTGTAGTTGGGGTCGGCGGTCAGCGCCAGCCCCTCCAGCACGGTCAGGGAGCGCAGGATGAGGGCATAATAGGCGGGCACCCTGCGCAGGCAGGGGTGGGTAGGGTGGGGTTGGGGTAGATGGGAATGAGGGTTGGGTTGGGGGGGGCGTGGTGCTGCACAGACGTGCTGGCACAGGCCTGGGCTGCAGGCCGAAAGAGACAAGAAGCCAGTACCGGCCCCACCTGAAGGGGTACTGGAACAGCACGCCGCCCAGCCCGTCCACGATCGCCCGGAAGTTGAGCTGGCTGACGCTGTCCTGCGGCAGGGCACCGGCGCAGCAAGCGGGGGCACCAATGAGGAGGCTGATGACCCTAAACAATGGCCAGGCCGCAGCGCGGCGCGGCATGAGCTGGCGGTGTGGCAGCCGTACAGCAACGTAGAACAGCAGCGCAGTACAGCAGCGCAGTACAGCAGCGGCAGTACGGTGCGGCGTGCCTGCAGGACGTTGTCAAAGAAGGCGGCGAGGGCGGGGGCGATGGGGGTGGTGTCCACTGACGGGTCCATGAACTCCAGCCTGCGGTACATTGGGGCGGTACAAGGTGGCACAGCTGGCGTGGTACAGGTGGTGCGGCGCACTGCCGCTGTGCTACGGCCCAGCAGTGTGCAAAGGTTCCCAGCCCCAGCTCGCAGGAAGACAACGAGGCCTAGAGAGGGGGCCTAGCTCACGTATAATAATCGTAGCACCTGCAGCGGGGGGGGGGGGGGGGGCGGCAAGGGAGGTGTGCGTGAGGGTCAGATGGGCATGCACTGACTGGCCAACCCAAGCCTGCGCAGCCATGCCCGGCACTTGTGCGATGCCAAGAAGCGGGGCGTGGGCGGGGCCCCGCAAGCAGGCAGCCCAGCAGGCAGGCGCCGGGCTGCCCCCCCTGCTGCCTCCCGCCGCTCACATGGCCAGGTAGTCCCGGTTGACGAGGTGCACGACGTGGGCGATGATGGCGTACCGTGCTGCAGTACAGCGGTACAGGGCGGTGGCGGGAACATCAGCTGGAAGCTGGTTGGCCACCTCTGGGCGCGAGCTGGCAAGCCGCCCAACACGGCAACCCCGCCTGCGTGCCCCTCACGCCGGAGCCCTGACCCGGTTTAACTCACAGGCACACACACACACACAAAGCAGCGTGCCCCCTCACCCGAGGGCGGCGCCTCGCTCATCATGCCAAAGTCCAGGTAGACGAGGTCGCCGCTGGTGGTGGCCAGCAGGTTGCCGGGGTGGGGGTCTGCGACAGGGGCGGCAGCACGCGGGTGGGGAGGGGTTGGCACCGCACGAGCAGAGCATCGAGCCGCGGCGCGCAGCACAGCAGCGCCACGGCAGCCGCGGGGCGAGCGCGTATGCCGGCACGGCACAGCAACGCAGCAGCCACGGCAGCCGCAGCAGCCCAGCATTGGCCCCCAGCAGACAACCAGCAGCCAAGCGTGTGGCGACCCAGCAGGCGGTACCACCGGCGGTACCGGCAGCGCACCCGCGTGGAAGAAGCCGGCTTCCAGCAGCTGACGCAGGGTGCACTCGATGCCGACGGTCACAAAGTCGACGGTGTCGAGGCCCAGGCGGGTCATGGCTGCAGGGGCAGTACACAGGCGGTACTGTTCGTGGGGGTGTGGACAGGGGTGGTGGTGGTGCCCGCCCTGGCGTCCCTCTGTCCCCAAACCACCACACACGCGCGCCCGCATACACATGTGCTGCCAGAGGCCACCCCCGCGGGCCCGCCCACCTTCTTCATCCGTCAGCTTCACCCCATCAATCCACTCCATCGTTAGCACCCTCCTGCTGGTGGCCTCCCACTTGATGCCAGGCACTCGCACCCGCGGCACGTGGCTGCCAGACAACAACAGGGGTGGGTGGGTGGTGGGTGCGAGTGGGTTCATTGGCTGCCACGGGGGCGGGAGCAAGGAAGGAGGCAGCGCGACAGCCCCCGCCACAGGCCAGCCGCCCGACCAGTGCCGGCGCGCACGGCGCCCAAAGCGGCCATGCCGGTACTCAACATCCCCAACACACACACACACACACGCACACGCGCACACACACACACACGCACGCACCTGTACAGCCGCCCAAACTTCTCCGCGTTGCGCCCCTCCTGCTCATAGTCCAGCTCACCAAACAGCCGCGCCGCAAACTCGTCCACAAGAGGCACCAGCGGCTGGGACACCTGCGGGGCGCGGCAAGCGGGCCAGGCGGCGGGCAGTTGTGGGTGCGGGCCAGCGGCATAGGACAGCAGGTAGCCGGGCAGGCAAGTGCTGGCTCAACCCCTGTCCCCTCGCCACACCGCCACACTCAAACACGCTCTCTCTCTCCTCCCCTCCCCCTCTCTCTTCTCTCTCTCTCTCTCTCCCCCTCCCAACTGCAGTATGTTGCTATACACCACGACATGCATGCACACACCGCCACAACACACACCCTCCCTCCCTGCCCCCCTCCTTCCCACCCCTCCCACCTGTGGGATGTTGTCGTCCACCACCGCCACCAGGCGCCGCAGCAGCACCATGTCGATGGCGATGTTCTCGCCGATGCCCGGCCGCTGCACCTTGACCGCCACCTCCTCCCCCGTGCTGCGCAGCCGGCCGCGGTACACCTGCCCCAGGCTGGCGGCGGCCACCGGCTCGGGCGTCAGCTCGCTGAACACCTCGTGCACCGGCCGCCCCAGCTCCTCCTGGATCACCTGCGGCGGTGGAAAGTGCGGCGGGTGGAAAGGAGGGGTGGGTGGAAAGATGGGGTGGAAGGGAGGGGAATGTGCGGCAGGTGGCAAGATGGGGTGGATCGGCCAGGGGTGTGGAGAGTGTCGCAGGCATGCAGGGCGGTTGTACACGAAGCTCCATGGCCAGCCAGCCACGGCAGCCTCCCCGACCCTCCCCACTCGCCTCGTACGCGATGGTGCTGGGGAAGGAGGGCAGACGGTCTTGCAGCTCAGACAGCGCATCCAGGTAAGGCTTGGGCAGCAGGTCGGGGCGGGCTGCAGGCAGGCGCAGCCGGCAGCACAAGTGAGGTGGCGAAACGGCAACGAGGGGAAGGAAAGCGGGCACGGATGGACCAAGAAGGCTGCAGGCGGCCTGCTGCGCCGGCTGCCGGCGCGGCACTGGATCGAGCAGGCGCCGCCGCCTGGCGCGGCTGCGGCACAGGTAGGAGTTCCGGCCGCGGCGGGTCGCACCGCTCAGCGCCTGCCCAGTCTTGACAAAGCTGGGGCCCAGCCCGCTGAGCACGCTGCGCAGCTGCTTTGCACGCTGCGGCGCGTTGGACTCCAGGCTGCCCGACGCCAGGTCAGCCAGGACGCGGGTGATGAAGGCGCCCAGGCTGGCAGCCACCCGCACCGAACGCGCCGCCAGCTCTGCAGGGCGAGAGCGGGCAGCAGGGGTGGGCGGGAGCGGTGAGCGCCATGCATGCGTGCCGGTCCATGTCAGCTGGGCTGTGTCAAAGGGGGCGTCAAAGGGGGCCAACGCGGGCAGCAGCTGCAGGGAGGGCAAGCACAGCCCCACAGGGCTTTGGTGGGAGGGCGTCCAGCAGGCTGACCTGTGGGTCGGCTGCTGAGCGCCTCGGCCAGGCGCTCTGGGTCGTATGAGACCCCCATCTCCACGAGGAGCGAGGGCAGCTCGGGTGTGAGGGTGCTGAGCTCCATGGCATCCACCCTGCGCAGCAAATCATGCGAGTGAAGGGTGCAGGGTGGTCGGCCTGCCCGCAGCGGCATTCCCGGTGCCGACGCCCGAGGCGGCTCCGCTTCCCAAGCAAGGCCGCAGCGCCGGGTCGCGTGCACCATGCTGCCCTGCCTGCTCACCATGTCCGCTGCCCCGTCTCAGTGAAGAACCAATCGTTGGTGCTGCTGCTGGCGGCCGTCACTTGGGGAGTCTGTGCCGCCGCCGCCGCGGGCGCCTGCCGCCGCGGCTGCCCAGGCGAGCGCTGCCCAGCCGCCCAGCCGTCTGGCCGCCTGCGTGAGCCGCTGCTGCCTGGATGCCGCTCTGGATGCCTGGGGCCCACGACCCAGCCACAGGCACCAGAGGTGTGCCACTGGGCGGTGGGCGCGCTGGCTGTGCGCATGTCGAGAAGTGTCAACAGGCGCTCCTGCACCACCGGGGCCCTCGTTTGTGGAGTGCGTGGTGCGAGGCAGGTGCAGCGGTACATTTGCAGTACGTATCATTGGATGGTCGTGAAAAGCACGGGGTGCATCTTAAAACAATGATTGCTTGGACCGGTAAATTGACTTGGGCGCGACAACTTGGAGGCTGCATGCTGAGCCCGACTGCCTCGTGAAACGCGTCGAGCAGTCATCAGCTTCCGGCATTCCTCGAAACAATTCCGTGAATTACAGTCATGGCTGGAGCACGGCCGGCACCGCTGTGGCCACTTGCAGTTCTGCTGCTGTGGGGCGGCATCGCCTGCTGCGAGGCCTCCCTGCGCGACGCCTCCTCAGTGCGCGGTTCGGGTGAGCGTGCGCTGCAGGAATCACGCTCGTGCGGGACAGCTCGACTCGCAGCTTGGAGCTGGTCACACCAGATCCCTTGCCATCAGATGGAGGTGGTTGGGAAGCCGTCAACCCTCCTATGCGTGGCTCCCTGGATGCAGTGGGCCGCATCGATGCCGTCTGGCCGCCGCTGCCTGAAGCCGACGAACAGCAAGTGCGCGCCGCCGCTCGCCGGAGCGGAGCCGCCGGCAGCCACGCCAGCCGCACCAGCAGCGACGACAACCAGGCACACTCACCGTCCCCGCCGGCAGACGATGAGCTGAGCGGCGCAAGCGCAGCAGCAGCAGGTGGCGAACTGCCGAGCAGCCTGAACCAGACCGGCATGGCAGCGATGGTGGCGCCGGCAACGCAGCGGGCTCGGGCAGCAACTGGCACCACCTTGAGCACCGAGCCGAGCGTGCCGCAGGCCCCCAGCATGAGGGCAAGCCCCATGGCCCAGGGTGCAAGTGAGCCGGGCTCCAGGGTGGCCGCATTGCTTACATGTTACAGCGAAACGTCGCTTTCATCCAATCGTAACCCTTGCTGGACGCCTTCCCTCGCTGGCTGGTGCAGCGGCGGCGGTCAGCGCCCCATCCCCAGATGAGCTGGCGGAGCTACTGCCAGCCTGCCAAGCCGGCACCTTCATCAATCTCACCTCGCTGGCCTGCCAGCCGTGCCCCAGGGGGCACTTTTCAAGCATTGACGGAGCGCGCAGCTGCGCCCCCTGCCCTCGCGGCACCTGGCAGAGCGCGCTGGGCGCCACCACCTGCAACGGCTGCCCTGCCGGCACTGCGGGCCACCTGAGCGGCGCACACCACGTGATGCTCTGTGAGGCGTGCCCCGTGGGCTCCTTTGCTGATGCCCCTGGGGCCACCTGGCCTTGCAAGGTGCGGAGAGGCGGCGTGGCACGCCAGCCCAGGCCAGCCCAGGCAGCCGGAGCTGGTGGGGTTGCTGGCGGCCTTTGCATGCCCGCCGTGCCCTGCTCACACACCCCTCGCGCCTATTTGCAGCCTTGCCCTCCGGGAACGTTCACGAGGCAGCACGGCGCAGCCAGCTGCACGGCATGCCCGCCAGGCACCGCTTGGGATGGCAGCGGCCAACTCTCGACATCCTGCCCAGCCTGCCCCCACGGCACGTTTGCCAGCCGCACGGGCTCGACTGTGTGTGATGCGTGCCCTCCAGGCACGCTGGCAGAGGTACCGGGGCTGAGCACCTGCCAGGTCTGCCCCGCCGGCACCGCGTCCGCCGCATGGGGCGCATGGCGGCGCTCCTCCTGCCAGGCATGCCCCGCGGGGACTTTCGCGGAGCAGGGGTCCACCTTTTGCAAGGCGAGAGGGGCTGCCAGCCATTAGCATGCAACTGGCGGGAGGCGCAGCGGGGCCTGGTACCTGGCATGTGCGCCCAAGCCGCTGCCCGCCATCTGACGCCTTCCCTTCCCTCCCTCCCTCCCGCTGTTTGGACCCTGCAGCCTTGCCCCTTGGGCACCGCATCCAGCCAGCCGGGTGCCACCTCTTCTTCCGCCTGCATGCCGTGCCCGCTGGGCCAGCACACCGGGGAGGCGGTTGGGGCGAGCGCCTGCAAGCCGTGCCCAGAGGGGCGCTTCTCAGACAGGGCGGGCGCCGTGTTTTGCGAGGCAAGCGCAACTCCCTGCTGCCCTGCCGGTGCCTGTTGCCCTCCCTGCTGGCTGCTGCTGGAGCCTTGCAGCCATGCTGGCCTCGCTCTGCTGGGGAATGCCGATGGCTGCTGCTGATGGTGCCTCTGTTGCTGACAAAGCCACCTTGCCTGCCTGCCCGTCTGTGCCCTGTAGTTCTGCCCCAACGGCCAGTTTGCCAGTAGCGAGGGCTCAGCCAAGTGCCAGGGCTGCCCGGCAGGGACCTATGCCCCTCAGGGCAGTGCAGTGTTGGGTGCCACATCTGACAGCCTCTGCCGCGACTGCCCGCCTGGCACCTGGGGCAGCGGCGGCGGCACCTGCAGGGCCTGCCCCACTGGCACAGCATCGCGGCAGTACGGGGCGAAACGTGCAGAGCACTGCCAGGCAAGAGGCGCTGGACGGCTGCGGCGGGAGACTGCTGCTCTGTAGCAACAGAAAAAACGTGCTGTCGCTGCCTGGCGCTGCCTGGCACGGCTCCTGCTCGCCTCACTTTTGCCTCCCGGTCTTGTGCATGGCTGCAGGCGTGCCCACAGGGCACCCAGTGGTCGTCCCGCTACTCTGTGCAGCTCGGCATGCCCATCGCAGAGTGCACGGCAGGAGCTAGAGCGACAGCATAGACAACTAGCAGCTCAGCTTTGTTGCATGCTCCTGTACCTTTGTTTATACTATCTGCAGCGCATCATGTACCATACCTCGCAAATTCCCACGGCCACGCACCCATTTTCAGCCTCTACTGCTGTTCAAGGGCTGGCTGTGATGCAGCACGACACACCATAGCCCGCCGTCACAGTCTGGCAGCGGTGGTTGCCCACCACCGCCGTGGGTGTGTTGGACAGGTGCGCGCTGTCGCTGCACCTGGCGGCCCGCTCCTCGTAGAAATCTTCAAAGTTGCAGCGGCCATCGCCCAGCTCGCCGGTCGATCCGGTGCCCCAGCACCACACCTGGCCGCCATCGTCCACAGCACACACACTGGGCGTGTGCGGGCAGGGCGCAGGCGCGAGCTGGGTGAGCACGGCGTCACGCGGTCAGCACCACAAGCCTTGCTGGAAGCACTGCAACCACAGCGCACACTCCACCCCGGCTGCCACCATCCCTGTTTACAGAACCCCACCAACATCACCGCACACACCGTGTGTTGAGCCTGCATCGAGCGCCACAAAGCGGTGCCCGCCCAGCACCGCCACAGGCTCCCAGGACGCGTGCCCGGTGCCGTTCCTCCCATCCCCCAGCTGTCCATACTCCCCCGTGCCCCTGCATGGCAGCAACTAACGCGCATTTGCCATGCAGGGGCTGGCCTCAGTCCATTTGCGGCTGCCTTTCATGCAGCTGCGCTGCGCACCATCTTTCAATCAGGGCTCACCAGCACCATGCTGCCGCGCTAGTGTCCACGCCGCAAGAAAATGACAGTCCAGCCGAAACAACAGTGAAATTGTGATCCCCCAAAATTGCCACCGGCACGACACTACTCTCATTTGCTCCATTCCCCAGCTCGCCGTGCTGGCCAGGACCCCAGCACCAGGCCCTGCCGGTGCCGTGGTCAAGGCCGCAGGTGTGACCGCCGCCAGCGCTGATGGCAGAGAAGGAGACACCCCCGGGGACCTCGGTTGGCGATGGAGTAACCATCGGAAGGAAGCGCGGTTCGATGGGCGGCAGCATGTATGGGTTCAAAGTCCATCCAGGGGTCAAGCCCCTGCAGCGCACGAGCTATGGAGGCTTGGGGGAGGCGCCCCGGCCGCTGCAGAAAGCAGTCGGGCATGCACGTACGCTGTAGGCTGGCCATGGCCAGCAGCACGCTGATGCCCACCAGCAGTAGGCTGCTCCCTCCTCGGTGAGCGCGCAGGTGTAGTCCACCAGTCCGCCGCTGATGTCCGCAAACGAGGGGCTGCTCAGCACTCTGGAGGGGGTGGCAACCTCAAAACTGCCTGAGGCCTCATTCTGATCCTCGCCAGGGATTCTGGTGCCCAGCATGCTTCCATAGTTGTGACCTGCGGCGCTCGGTAGCAGAGCGGTCGAGTGCTTGCACTTAATGCGCACGCCAGACAGGAAAGCCCAACAGCGGGCGCACCAAAGCAGTAGGCAGCACCCTCGGCGTCCAGCAGGCACGAGTGAAAGCTGCCCGCAGCGATGCGCGGCACAGGCGCAGCGCCGCCGCCCAAGCCATCGGTCGTCACCGGCACAGGGGCTGCGCTCATCCCGCTATAATATTTCGGAACTCCCAGCTGGCCATACCCATTACTCCCCTGCAGCCATGAGGTGCAGAAGCTTGTCCAATGCGTTTGGCGATGTGATGTGATGCGGGGCGCACGCAGGCGGCGAGGGCTACTCACCCAGCAAAACGGCCGCCCGGCTGCCAGGCCGCAGACGTGCATGCCGCCTGCAGACAGCGTGTCGAATTGAAGCGCTACGCCGCCGGCGGGTGCCAGCACCTGGACAGGCACTGGAGAGAAGTGGCCGCCGGCGGTGTCGCCGCTCCGCCCGTCGCCCAGCTGCCCGGCGTTGCCAAGGCCCCAGCAGATGGCCGCCCCGCCGGGCTCCGCGCTTGCGGCTGCCGCCAGCGTCAGGGCGACCAGGGCACTGCCCAGCACCGGCGCTCGCATGTGGCCTGCAGGTCATGGACAGCGGTGAGAAGTACATGTATGTGGGCAGGCAGCACAGACCACAAGCGATGGTCACGTCGTCTGCCAAGCGACTGACGGCAACAGCCCGCCCCCGGACCCTTGTGGCGCCACTTCTCCGTAGTTTTGGCCTCCAGATCCCACCTGAGCTCAGATGATGCACCCGAGCCAGGCAGGCTGAAGCTGAGCAAGCCGTGGGGCAGCACCAGCACAGTCGGTGGCAGCTGCGGGCAGCTGCGGCGACGGTGGGCCGAGGGCAGTGGCGACGGCGGCTCTTGGACAGCGCTGCAACACTCCAGGTCGCGCTCTGCAAGCATTATTTACAGCATTTATTAACCGCAGCAAGAGCGTGAACCTCAGGGCGGCCAAGAGGGTTTTGGGGTGCACTGTCACAATTAATTTTACCTTTGTCTCCTGCAGAGCTGGTGCAGAACAGCACTAGGATCCACGAGGGGCCCGTCTGCTTACGGTGGGCTCGTTTGTGCGAATTCGCTTGCACAGGTGGCAAATGACTGTTTACGTCATCACCGCGCTTTCAAAGCCCTGCAGCAACTAATTTCGATTGGTCTGATCTTCCTCGAGCACTCCATTGTTGCTAGTAGGCTGCAACAGCTGAAACAGAGAAGGCCGGAGTGCGTCTGGTAGACGATGACCGTCACCCCCGCAGCGTGCGTCACCAGTGCCTGCTGCTTGAACGGATTGGGCCAAACCGCCCATGGCAAGCCTGCCCAGTGGTCGCCATGGCGCACATGGCCTGACAGCAGACGCGCTTCCAGAAGGCGGCAGCTTGTTAAACAGCGCGCAAAGCTGATCATTGGCCGAGTGCAGACCGGCGGCGGGAATGGCTGACCGACGCCCCGCCGCCGCCCCCCTCCCGCCCTCCCGGCCCTTGCAGCAACGGCGCCGCCGCCGCCGCGCCGCTCTTCTCCCCCTACACCCTGCCCGGCGGCCTGCAGCTGCCGCACCGGATAGTGTACGCGCCTATCACGCGGTGCAGGGCGTTCAACCAGGTGCCGCAGCCCAACGCAGCGCTGTACTACTCGCAGCGCGCCTCCCCCGGCGGCCTGCTCATCACAGAGGCGACCTGCATCAGCGACCGCGCCCACGGCTACCCCTGCACCCCAGGTGCGCGCCGCAGCCGCAGGCGCAGGCCTCCCGCCGCCATCCAGCAGCACGCGCAGTAGCGCGCGCAGCGCTGCCGCTGGGCTGCATCGATGGCCCTGGGATCGCTGCCCCACGTGTCGCTGCCGTTGCTGCTGCGCCTGTGACGCTGCAGCTGTGCCTGCGCCTGCTTCGCCCCTTGCCAGGCATCTACACGCAGGAGCAGATCGATGCCTGGAAGCCAATCGTGGACGCCGTGCACCAGAAGGAAGCCATCTTCTTTGCGCAGCTGTGGCACGTGGGCCGCGCCTCCCACCACGTGAGCGAGTCAGCTGCCGCCGCCGTGCCGTGCGAGCGCCGCCACGCCAGCCGTTGAGTGTGCCTGCCACCGCCAGCGCCCTTCCTCCTGTTCTCGCCTGAGACGGATGGGCTGCCGCGGCGCCCGCGCCCGCTTGCAGACTATCAGCCGAACGAGGAGCTGTCCATCTCACCCAGCACCCTGCCCGGCAAGAACGGCCAGTGCTTCTCCCTGAAGACCATGCAGGCACGCTGCACGGCGGCGGCTGGTGCCCTGGGGGTGTCACCTGTGGAGCAGGCGGAGACGCCCTCCCCCGCTGCAAACCAGAAGTCATTTTTGCTCAGAGCCAGCTCTCTTCTGACCCTTCCCATCCTTCCTGGCATCCCACCCCGGCTGCCTGTCGCAGATGGAGGACTACCCCGCTCCCCGCCAGCTGGACATCGCAGAGATCCCCGCCATCGTGGACCAGTACCGCCAGGCGGCGCGCAAGGCGGTGGAGGCTGGCTTTGATGGGGTGGAGGTCCACGGGGCCAACGGTGGGTGGCTGGGTGGCTGCGGCAGGGGTGGGGCCGGACGGTTGCGCCCGCATGGGCGGCTCTGGCCGGGCGGCATAGAACCAGAAGATTTGGTCGGTGGCCTGCCGCCGCCACCGAACGCGCCCCACCCCTCCTCCGGCCCCTGCGCCCTGCAGGATATTTGATTGACCAGGTGGGGGTGCGGAAGCGCTGGGCTGGGGCCGGGCTGCAGCAGATGTGCAGCAGGGAGCAGCTCCCTCCCTGCTCACACTCTCGTCGAGGCACATGTGCTGCCCGCCAGACTCATTTCGACAGCGCCTGCTCGAGCGCTCACCCGGCCATTGCACCGCCCGGCCGATGTGCCGCCTGACCGATGTGCCGCAGTTCCTCAAGGACGGCATCAACAACCGTACCGACGAGTACGGCGGCCCCATCGAGAGCAGGTGCCGCTTTGCTCTGGAGGTGGTGTGGGCGTGCTGCGAGGAGATTGGGTCGGAGAAGGTGCGGCGCGCCTTGGGTGTGCGGCTGGCATGGGGACTGGATGCGCTGGGCTGCTCTTGGTTGGGTGGGCTGATGCCACCTGCTGGCGCCTTCGCGTGGCGGGCAGCGGCATGGCGTAGCTCCTGCCTGAGGCTGGCGCCGGCTGCCGCGCGCTGCATGTGCGCAGGTGGGCATCCGGCTGTCGCCCTTTGGCGGCTTCCTGGATGCCGCCGACTCGCACCCTTACGCTCTCAACATCTGCTAGAGGAGCTGAACAAGTGAGGCGGGGTGGGGAGGGGTGCAGAGTGGCTGGGGATGGGCTGGAGTCTGCCGAAGGCAGGGGGCTCTCTCGTTTGCCTGCCGGCAGGTGTCCGCTACATGCTGCCGCTCACCCAGCCCGCCGCTGCCGCCTCCCGCAGGATGAGCCTGGCTTGTGAGTCGAGCGGCGGCCCAATGTGTGCATCGTGCAGGCACCTTCCTCGCCATGGAGGCAGGGGGTGGTTCCAGGTGTTGGTCTGGGGAGCCGCATTTCATTGGTTGCTCCGCCTGCCCCCTCCTGCAGATGTGCACGTGACTGAGCCCCGTGTGGGTGGGTCTGAGGACAGGGACGAGGGCGGCGATTCCATCAAGCCCTTCCGGGAGGTGCGCCCCGCCCGGCAGCACCGCCTGACCCAGCCGCTCGCTGGCGCCGGCCTGCCTACCGGCCCCGCCTCCTCCCCCGATGGAGCTGCCTCCTAGCTGGCACCCTGCTTGCGTTCCTCTCGTGCTGACGCCCGTGCTGATGCCAGGTTGCTGTGGGTGGTGCTCCGCAGGTGTACAAGGGCACACTCATCTCTGCTGGCGGCTTCACGGCGGCGACCGGCGGCGCCGCCGTCGAGAGCGGGCACTGCGACCTCGTCTGCTACGGCAGGTGAGCTGGTGTTGGAGGAACAGCGCGCTCCCTTGCCCCCCGGCAGCCCGCCATGCTGGCGCCACACTGGCTCTGCCTGACATCACGGGCGCCGCCGTGGATGCTGACGTGGATGCTGATGTGGATGCTGACGTGGATGCGCTGCCACATGGCGCTGCCCGCCACCGCCCTGCAGGCTGCTCCTGGCCAACCCCGACATGCCGCGCCGCTTCCAGCTGGGCGCTCCGCTCAACAAGTACGACAGGAGCACCTTCTACTCCCAGGGTTCAGAGGGTGGGCGACAGCGGCGCCGCCGCTGCCTCTGCTGGGCGCCGGCCGCCCGCTTGATGGGGTGCAGGGAGGGGGGCGCGCCGCTGCCCTGCCCTGCTCCTGCTTCTGAAGATGGCAGCCCTCTGGCTCCCTGGCCTGAGCTGTGGTTGAGAGTTCGTGCTCCCCCGCTGCCCACTGTCTACACACACACACACACACACACCACCTGCCCCACTGGCACAGCCGCTCCTCTCCCTGCTGTGCCCACCTCAGGTTACACCGACTACCCGTTCCTGGAGGAGTCCGAGGATGGCAGCGCCTTCCTGGCGTCTCTGGGCAAGGCATAGGAGCAAGGCATAGGCAAATAATGAATTGGCCCCCTCCGCCCTCCTTTTGGTTGCCCCTCCCCGCACTGCGCCTGCCTCGCAATGCCGCGTTATTCGTTGATTCTTTGAATTCAACATTGCAAATCGTTTGAACTATTTTGTTTGCGCTGTGCACATGTGGATGTCGCGGCAGGGGCGCTCCCCCTCCTTGAGCCGCAGATGTGGCAGCAATGCGCCGCCTTCCTTTTGCGCCGCAGCTCGACAAAGGCAGAAGCGGCTACGCAGCAGGCTGCTGCTGGGCAGAGCGGGCCTACTTTGAGCCATTCCTTTCTCAAAAACAGCAGCTGACTACAAAAAAACACGGCCAAACATGTGTGAACAGCGCAAGCTGACAGGGTCCCGCCTGGGGAGGTGGGAGCAAGGCTTTTGCAAAAGCAAGATCACAGAGGCAATTGCATGCAGGTAATTGGGCATAGCCAAGTGCACTTCGGTCGGCTGCGGCCAGCCCGTCAGGGCCGTCGCCGCCGGCACACAGCGCTGCGCCCGCCGGACCGCCGCATGCATGGGGTGGGGCCTGCCGCAACGACTCCCGACCCTCCTGCCCGCGGCGCTCACTCGCGCTGCGCCATGTCGTGGCGCACCTTGCGCTGCAGCTGGTAGATGCCTGTGACCGCCATGAAGGCGTTGACCGCCAGCAGGTTGTAGTTGACCTGTGGCAGCGGCAGGTGGGTGCAGCAGCACACCAGGCAGGTGGTGGGTGCAGAGGGCGGAGCGGGGAGGGGATGGTGCAGCAGGGAGGCGCTGGGGCATGCACCATCCCCGAGGCCAGGCGCGCCCCAGGCTGCGGCGGCGGCCCACCCCGAGCGCCGCGCCACCTCACCGGCGTGATCTGGGTGCTGAAGCGCGACCAGATGAGACCCGTGGCAGTGATGGCGCACTGCTGGGGGTAGGAGACGAGCTCGGCGGGGCGCTGCATGTCTGCAGGCCAGGCGGGCAGCAGGGGAGGGCAGGGGTGGGTGCGGGGGCCGAGGAGGAGCCGAGGCCCGCACGGCGGTCGCCGCCGCAGCATGCCGCCGGCGCTGCAGCCCAGAGGGTCGGCCTGCTGCCGCAGGATGGGCAGGCGGCCGCTGGGCGCCACCCAGCCGCCGGCTCTCGGCTCGGCCCGCCCCGGCCAGGCAGCACGCATCAAGGCAGCCCCCGACTGCCGCCAGCTCTCCAGGCTAGCTTGTACGGGTACCACGCATGCATGCACAAGAGCGGCGGCCCAGGCTAGGCTGCCGGCAAGGCGGGCAGGCAATTGAGCAGCCTGCAGTGGGGAAGACGAGGTCAGCGTGGCACCACCGGGACTTGCCCGACCGTCCCACCTGCGATGTTTGCGATGCTGATGCCCCACTTGAAAGTTGGAGCCCAAAAATGGATTGTTCTGCTCATTTGCAATGAAGAAACACAGCACAGACGGCGTGGCGTGTGAGTGACTTAGTGACGGCAGGCGGCGGGCGGCGGGCGCGGCCCCTGCAGCGTTTGCTCACTTGGGCCCCGCCGGGTGATTCCACAGCATGCGCATCTTCTGCCCCAGGCCTGGAGCCTGTGACGACATCGCTGTAGCCTCGCCTGCCGCCGCCTCTTGCCTCCGCCGGTGACGCCCACTAGCCTGCCGCCACTATGATCGCAGCGCGTGGGCGCTGGTCTCAGCGAGCTGAGGGCCCACCTGCAGGCTCTGCAGGCAGCCAGGGAGCGGGGCGTGAGCGCGCAAGAACCCCACCCACCCCACGCCGCGATCACCCGGCCGGCAACCCCCGTATCCTCTGCGTCATGCGCACACACGCCAGCACCCTTGCCCTCACCCGCAAGAAGAGCGCTGCCGCTGTGGGAAGACGAACCCCAAGCAGCGAACCTGTGCAGCGTTTATCCAGCTGCTGCAAGGAGCTGGCAGGCAGTGCAGAGCTCGAGAGTGTTGCCGTTCTCGATGGATGCCCCGCGGGGCTCCATCTGCTGTGCCCATGCTGCCCTGCGGCCACCCTCGGTTCCGCCTCTTTAACAGCTGTGGGGCGTTGGGGGAACTCTACATCGGCTGCAGCTTCACAGAAAATCGTGGTCACCGCGGTCGCCGTGTTCTGGAACCAACCAGCATGTGATGCATGTCGCTGCACCGCGGTCGAGAGGCGAGAGGCCGCGCCAGGCGCGCTGAACTAGCCGATCAGGGTGAGCCATAGGGCGTGGCAGGCTCGCACAGGTATCCCTCGTCTCTTGAACTCCCCCGCCCAGTGATGCCACTGCAAGGGAAGGCATGAGCGGCGGCAGGCACATGCATCATCGCAGGCGGCAAGAGGCGGGGGCTGGCTTGACGGTGCGCGACCCTGCGACTTGCTAAAGAGCGCCAGGGCAGGCCCAGGCGCTCACCTCTGCCGTGCCGTACTCGCCGAACGAGCTGGCAAACAGGTGAGGGAAGGCGATGACGCCCGCCCAGCCCAGGTGGCGGCAGCGGTGCCGCACCGCCACCGGATCGGCATCCAGCCGCGGCGCGTGCGCCTCCAGATAGCCGCTGCAGGCAGACGTCAGGGGCAGGCTAGCCAGGGAGTGAATCCCCTCCCCGTGTTTGGGAGAATGGGATGGAAAAAGCACGCATGCATGAGCATGTTGGGCTTGGCTTCACCACCGCTCTCCCATGCCGCCGCAACCATCCAGCCTGAGCCAGAGGGTGCCCCTGCCTGATGATGTCCACGAGGCGCTGCCGCCCCGCATCAGTCCTCAGCGTCTTAACCTCCAGCGCCAGAGTGCGCCGCAGCCCAGCGGCCACGCACGCTCTGCATCAGAGAAACAGCAGCAGCAGAGGGAGCCCGCAACAGGCGGCAGGCTCAGAGTGGGCAGCGACAGTGCGGTCAGGTTTGAAGCAGGCTCCGCCGCAGGCGCATTTGGCAGGAGGCGGCGCTGCACACAGCAGGCGGCTGGCAGGGTACAGGCTGGGCTCTCACTCTAGGTACTGCTGCAGGGTGGGGATGCACAAGCCGGGCCTCCCCGCCAGGTGCAGCGCCTGCAGCTGCGCCAGCGTCAAGTCCTGCGCCGTGAGCAGCTGGAAGGGCGTCCCCGTCGCCACTTCCAGCTTCGCCGCTGTGCCAGCATTGGCGCCATCGGTCGGGAAGGCGGCTGACAGCAGGGCATCATGGAACACAATTAGCTGCGGCAGGGACACAGGGGGCGGGCCTGGGCAGGCCCAAACAATCAGCTGGGCAAGGCACATACGCTGGCGCGAAGAGCGGCAGCCACGGCACGGCCATCCAGCCAGCCCTGCAAGAGACAGCGGTGGGCCGCACCTCGCCGTCCGCCGTCTCCTGCACATCAAACTCCAGGTAGGGGAAGGCTGGCAGCGGGCCCTCGAGGCGGTCCCTGTGCAGCAGCGCCGCCGCCGCCTCGGGGATGTTCTCCACCAGCGGACCTGCGCCCATAGAAACAGGCATCAAATATTGGGACGCCACTACCAGCCAGCTCTACGGGTCCCCTGGCACTGGCACAGCTGCGCGCTGCAGGAGCACTTGGAGCACCTTGGAAGCCGTGTGCGCCGCCGCGGTGCCCTGCTCCGTCGTCCTGCTGGCTGCCGGCCAGCAAAACCAGGGCGGAGGCAGCTGCAAGGAGCATGGCGCATGCTGCTACCGCCACCGTGCGCAGCGGTGCGGCAAAGGCCGCCGCCTGGGTGGCGACCAAGAGCAGCAGCGCCGCCCGCCGGACCCTGCCGCCGCCAAACTGCTTCCACGTCCGTAGCAGGTACGCAAGCGCCAGCAGCGACAGCCCCACGCCCCGCTCTCAGCGGCGCTCGGATAGCACCAGCTTGCGGTAGAGGCGTGTCACGAGGGGGGACCGGAAAATAAATGCAAGAGGTGCCATTTGGAGCGAGCCGGGACTCCGCGCCGCCACTGGCCTGCGTCTGCAGACGGCGGAGGCGGTGCGAGCCGCAGCGCCCCTCCCACTGCGGCACCCGCGATGCAGGTGTCGGTCCGCTAGCTGCAAATACCTACGCACCTGCTCTTGACAGGCGGGTTAGGGTTCGGGCTCAAGGACTGCAAGGCTGAGAAGGTTTAGCTTGCTGGGTTTAGACAGTGCTTCCAGAATCTGGATACTGAGCCGCTGGTGTGTTGCCAATCCGGATCCCATTTCTTGTTGACAACAACCCTGCGTCGCCGCTTCGCTGGCGGCGCCAGGTGGCGTGATGAAAACTACTTGCCTATCGCCCCACCTACCTGTGGGGCCATTAGAGGAGAGGTACACTGTCACTGGAATTGAAGGAAACATCGCCTCAGCTTCGTGCGGGCGCCAGGTCCTACCCACAGCACAACAATAGGCCGGTGGAGACCCCGCACCGCACTGCCAAAGCGCATCAAAAGCAGACCCGATGGCTGCGCCCGGTCTCCAGCCGCAGCCGGCCCGGCTCCCCCATTGTCAACAGGCAGCGACCGCCGACAACAGCTGGGCCAGGGGAGGTCACCCCGCCCACGCCTTCTCCTTTGCGTCCCCGGCTTCAATGGGATCACATGGCGCGCCCTTGCAGCCGCTGCAGCTGGCCGGCGGCGCGCAGGCAGCGGCGCCATCACCCTGTCACAGCACCGGCTGCAGCGGCACGCTGCCGCTGGCGCGCCAGCTGAGCCCCTGGTCTGGTGCCAGCCCGCAGGCGCAGGCGCTGGCAGCCACGCTGCAGTCGGCACAGAAGCAGCGGGTGAGGGTGGTGCACGCGTCGCTGGCTGCCCTCCTTGCTACGCCGCCGTTGCTGCCACTGGTGCATCGCAGGCTCAGCTTCCAAACAGAACAGCCATCGCGTTTTTACCATTCGCCCCTCGCCCCTGGCCTGTTTGACCTTGCCTGCTCCACTGCACCTCTGCAGGAGCTGGCAGAGAGCACACTCAGCAGCCTGCACGCCACCGCCGCCGCCAAGGGCCCGTCACCGCCGCCCGGCGGGGCATCCAGCGGCGGCAAGGAGAACGCGGCTGGCTTCCAGCGCGTGTCCCCCGGCCACTTTGTGCTGCAGCACCAGCACCCACAGCAGCAGTGGGGGCCCAGCGCCAGTGCCGTCCTCGCCGTGCCGGCCCGGGGGGCGGCGGCGCCGCTTGGAGAGGGATGCGGGCAGGCGGCTGGCGCAGCCGCATCCACGCCTGTGAGCCAGCAAGGCTCCCACGTCAGCTCTGTGCTGGTAGACCAGCTCAACTATGCGCTGCGGGCCCTGGGTGCGCCTGGAGAGTGCCGATAGGGATCCCGCCTGGGGGGTGGCGGCATGGGGCCCTTGCCTTGCTGCATGCACGGCGCTCTTGCTCGCTCGGGCCTGCTTGCGGCAATTGGCTGCTTCATCTGTCTGTTTACGCTGGGCACCGATGCAGGCCACACCCCCAGCCAGCTGCCCCCACAGGCGCAGCAGCAGCAGCAGCAGGAGACCCCCACCTCACAGCCCCAGCACTCGTACCAGCAGGGGCAGCACGCCACAGCAGCACCTGCCGCCCCTGCTGCCGCCGCGCCTGCTGCTGGTGCTACGCCCGGAAACCCCAGTGCCAGCGCCACCCAGGCATCCTCTGGCTGCACCGTGCCCGGCAGCGCTGCGCAGAGGCTGGCAGACCTTCAGCAGCGGCACTCTCAGCTGCTGGCAGACATTGACTCAGCTGAGCAGCGCCGACAGGAGGCGGAGGCAGCTGCGTCGCGCGCCGAGGGCGAGGCCGGCGCAGCGGAGCAGCGCCTTGCGGCAGCCCAGCAGCAGGAGCGGGAGCGGGAGGCTGCACTGGCTGCGCTGGCAGCCGAGGAGGCGGCCGTGCAGCGCCGGCTGGGGCTGCTGCAGCAGGGCGTGCGGGAGCAGGAGGAGGCGGAGGCGGCGGCGCGGCAGGCGGCGCAGCGTGCGCAGCAGGAGGCGGCCGCCGCCGAGCAGCAGCTGAGCGCGGTCAGGTGAGGGGCATCACGGGCAGGCTGCAGCCGGCGTACTGGGCCTGTGCACACACCCCCGCCTGCTGCCCTGCCATGCTCTTCGTCGGCCTGAAGACGCGGGACGCACTCCCGCATGGGATGCTGAGGCACGTGACCAAAGCCTGCCGCCACCCACGCCGTGTATGCTGCCCCAAACGCCATTGCTGGCGCAGGTCTCGCCTGGGCGCGGTCGGTGGCGAGCTGGGGGCCACCGAGGAGAGGCTGGCGGAGAAGGCAGAGCGGCTGCGCGCCTCTCTGCAGCAGGAGGTGACGGCGGCGCAGCAGCAGGCGCGTCCCGCGGCTCACCTGCCACTTGCACCATTCCTGCCTCTCGCGGAGACCCTTCCCACACACTGCCTGTTGCCACACAGACACACACAAACCCTTGCCGCATTCTCTGCCCCCTGTGGGCCAACCCCACCGCCAGCCGTGCCCTCCTGCCTGTGCAGGTGCAGCGCCAGCTCCAGGAGGCGCAGCTGCAGCTGGCGACCACAGCGGAGCGGCGGCACGAAGAGGAGCGAGGCACGGCGGCCGCAGCGCAGCAGCGCGAGCAGCAGGAGGAGCGCCTTCGCCAACTGGCCACCGACCTTGCGGCAGCTGAGGCGAAGCTGGGCATCGTGGGGGCTCAGGCCGCCGATGCCGAGACCGTGCTGACCAGCCGGCAGCGGCAGGTGGAGGCGGCTGGCGAGGAGCTGGCGGCGACGCAGGCAGAGGTGGAGGAGGCCATCCGGCGGCAGACGGAGCTGGGCCAGCAGCTGTCCGGCCTGGAGCAGCGGCTTGCCGGCCAGCGGCAGGAGCTGGCACATGTGGAGGCAGCGGCGGATGCCGCGGAGCAGCACCTGCACTCCACCGAAGCTCTGCTGGCGGCGGCGCAGGAGGCGCTCGCAGAGGCGACAGCGGCGGCGGAGCGGCAGCAGCGGCGGCAGGGCGAGGCGGCCGTGGCCGGTGCAGCGGCAGAGGAGCGCCTCGCTGCGCTGCAGCAGCAGGTGGAAGGCGCAGACTCGCTGCTGGCGGCGCTCCAGACTGACGCGGCCATGGCGGCGGCAGAGGCTGCCGCGCAGCGGGGTCAGGTCGAGCAGCTGACGGCGGCTGTCGTCGCCTCGCAGGAGAGGCTGCGGGAGTTGCAGGAAGGAGCTGCCGAGGCGGAGCAGCAGTACTCGGCCGCGACCCTGCAGCGCCAGCAGGCGGAGCAGGAGGCCGCCGCCTCGCAGCAGGCGGCCGAAGAGAGGTTGGCTGAGGTGCAGCGGCAGGCGGAGCAGGAGCTACAGCGCCTGGAGCAGTGGCAGGAAGAGTCGGCGGCAGCCGAGGGCCGCTTGGCCCAGCTGCGGCAGCAGCTGCCAGAGGCGGAGCAGGCTGCTGGGGAGGCGGCTGCCGCCTGCCGGGCCACACAGGCGCAGCTGACCGCCAGGCAGCAGCAGCTGGGCGAGACTGCCGCCGCGGTGAATGCCGGGCAGCAGCGGCTGGCGCAGCTGCAGCAGCAGGTGGAGGCGCTGGAGGCGGCGGTGTGTGAGGCCGCCGACAGGCAAGCGCTTCAGGAGCAGCTGGCTGCTGCCGAGGCGGAGGTGGGGCGCCAGCGGCAGCAGATGGATGCGCTGGGCGACAGCATGCAGCTTCAGCAGGAGCACGCAGAGCAGGCTCTGAGTGCGGCCCAGGAGCGGGCGCAGGTGAGGGGCCTGGCCTTGCCTGGGTGGCGCTGCCTGCACCTGGCTGCCGCCGCCTGCTGCCGCTTCCCGTTTCGCTGGCCCTGTTCTTGCTGCCCTTTCCACCAGCTTCTTTTGCATCGTGCCCTGCACCAGCCCATCTGCTTCTGTTCCCTTTGCCTCTTGCCCCTTGTTCCTGCCCTGCAGAGCCTCGAGCAGGAGCTGTCCACTGTCCAGGGAGAACTCCGCGGCTGCTACCGGCAGCTGGCGGTGGCGCAGCAGGCGGCGACCGCGGCAGCCAGCGAGGGCGCGCAGGACCGGCAGCGGCGGCAGGACGCCGAGCACCGCCTGGCGGCGGCGCAGCAGGAGGTGGAGAGGTGGGGCGGCCGCCTTTGCTGCTTGGATGACCTGGGGCCTGGATGCAGGGCCCCTAGCCATGCCCATGCATGCATGCCTGGTCTGCATGGCGCTGCCCACTCCTCCGGGCGCTGTGGTGATTGCAGGCTGCTGCACGAGCCCTCAAACAGTCTGGAGCTTCGCCTGCTGGAGGCAGAGGCAGCGGACCTCCGCTTCAAGCTGCAGGCCGCCGAGGCGGCTGCCACAGCGGAGCGGCAGCGCACTGCAGCGGCGGAGCGGGACGTCGGCGCGGCCCAGCGGGCGGCGGCGGCTGCCGAGGAACAGCTGTCAGCGGCTGTCGGCAGGTGGGCGGCATGCAGGGCATTCGCACGGCCTCGCGCCGTGTGGGGCTCCGCCAGCCGCCTGGCCCTTAGCAGCTGCGGGTTTGGCACTGCAGAACACAATGGCCGGGCCCGTGATGTCGCTTGCCATGGTCTGAGAGCAGCACCGCTTTGCCCTCCATTGCTCATCCGTGCAGGGTGGAGGCGCTGCTGAGTCAGCAGGATCTGGCGGCCGCTGAGCTAGCATCTGTCAAGGCCGACCGCTCCCGCCTCCACATCTCTGTGTCAGGTGTGGGAGCAGCAGGGAGCTCAGCCGGGCTGGCGGTCTGCAGCGCATCGGCGTGGTTGCACATCCCTCTCGTGAGCGCATTGCCTGCCTTCTGGCCTCCCCGCTGCTGCAGAGTTGAAGCAGCAGGCACAGCAGCTGCGGCGCATGCTGCAGCAGGTTCAGGGGGAGAAGGAGGCGGCGCAGGGTGAGCCCACGGTGCCCAGCAGCTGCGGATTTCACAGCCCCTGTGCCCATTCCCTCTCTGCATCAGTCTGCAGCCTGGTGCTGCTTCTCACTTACCGCTGCTGGCGGCCACCTGACCCCCTGCTTCAGGCTTTGCCAGCGCACTGGAGATGCAGCTGGAGGCCCTCCAGGACCGGCTGCATATTGCTGAGATGCAGCGCCTGCCGGCCCCTGCCGCCATCCAGCCCGCCTCGCCGCCGGCGCCAGCCCTGGCAGGCGCTGCTGCTGCCGACGAGGAGCTGGAGCTGCTGCGGCAACAGCTGGCGCAGGCGCAGCAGCAGAACAGCACGCTGCGGGCCACTGCGGCGCGGCTGGGCAATGCACTCGCGGCCGTGATGCAGCGTTCGGTGGGCGGGGGCAGCGGCGGAGCCCGGGGCGTGCCGGATGGGGCTGCGGCGGCATCCGCAGTGCTGGCGCAGCTGTCGGCTGTAGAGAACATTCTCTCAGGGATGCGCTAATTGTGGGGGAGGCCTGCCCCTTGTTGCTTGGCACCCCACAGTGAAAGGCCTCGCTCCACTCCGCTGATGCCGAGCGGGAGGTGGCGGATGGAAAGGGCGGCCGACCATGCGATATAACCGCAGCTCTGTGCGCCTTCCGCAAGTGTCAACACTTTTTTCAATGCTGCCATCGCGTTGCTAATGACCTGCAGCACCAGCCTGAATGCTCGCCCGAGTGACACGCCAGGTGTGAGCGTTTGCGGGCGCGGGACCTGCTGCACTGAGATGCGAGTTGATCAGAGAGCTTATGTTGCATCGCTGCGCGCCTTCCCGTGTTGCAGGCGCCGGCCTGGTTGCCCGCGCTCAGGGCGGCAGCAGCAGGCTTCAGCACTGGCCAGGTGAGCAGAGGGCGATGCCAGGGAGTTGTATCGTTTCTCCGGTTGGCCGTTCAGCCTGGCCGCCCACCACCGCCGCCACTGCCGCCACCGCCCACGCAGGCGCCCTTGGCTGCTGCTGCCGCCCTCCCATGTGCCGCCACTGATGGCCAAAGCAGCCTCACCATTCCCCAGCATGCCGACTTGAGCATGAATGCCACCAGCGTCGAGGTGCGCTGCTTCATCCTCCGGTGAACCACCGACTTGCCCAGAGGCTGCTGCTTGCTGCTGCCGCCTACACAGTTACTGCAGCAGATGCCAAAACCTGTCATTCTGTTGCTGCGCAGGCAGCAGCCCCGGCCAAGCCGCGCCCCAGCAGCAGGTCGCCCTGCCCACCCAGGCAGCGGCGGCCGCTGTGGGCGCCGCGGCAGGCTGCTGCCGCGCTGGACGGCGCGCGGCCGGCGGACGACGACCGGCTGCTGAGCGCGCTGTCGTTCGCCGCCAGCATCCGGGAAGCAACCAGACTGCTGCTGGAGAACAGGGCAGCCGTGGCCAGCCACCACCTGCTGCGTGCAGTGGCCCGCATGGGCCACCTGCAGCGCTGGGCGGGCCACGCCCCGCCGGCGCCTGCCAACCGCGAGGCCTTTGCCGGCGCGCTGGAGGTGGCGTTCGAGATGCTGGCCAGCGAGGGGCGCCAGCTGTCCGGGGCAGACAGCCGGGCGGCGCTGGAGGCGTCTGCCTGGATGCAGGTGCCGCCCACCCCGCAGCAGCAGGCGGCCCTAGAGGCGGCGCTGGTGGCAGGAGCCAGCGATTGGGATACCATTCGGAGCGTCCACGACTATGAAGCGGTACTGGCCAGCTACCTGCGGCTGGGCCTGCGCCCAGGCAACGAGCTGGCAGCACTGCTGGAGCCAAGCTGCCTGCCTGGCGGCGATGAGGCAAGTCTCCCGCGCTTTGGCCGCAGGCTCGGCGCCCGGCTGCCACCGCCCGGCAGCTGCCGCTGGCGCCGCGTCCGGTGCCTGCGCCCCCTTGCTTCCCAGCCCACAGCCTTCTGCGCTTGTGCTTGGCGGCCCTCCGCGCAGGTCGCTGCTGCCGACGCGGAGGCTGAGCGGGGGGGGGAGGCAGGCGTGCCACACGAGCAGCACGGGGAGCAGCAGCAGCAGCAGCACGAGCAGCAGCTGCAGCAGCAGCAGCAGCAGGAGCAGCAGCAGCAGGAGCAGGCGCAGCAGCAGCAGCAGTGGATGGAGCAGGGGCGTGGCGAGCGGGGCGGAGGGGTGCGCCTGCTGGAGCCTCGTGGGCTGACGACAGAGCTGAGGCGGGCCTCCAACTTCCCGCGCCTGCTGCGCCTGCTGGTGCTGCACGACGGCAGGCTGGATCACATCCACTGCCTGACCGCCCTGGCCTCCATGGTGCGGCTGCGGGGCGGGGTGGAAACGTCCAGCCTGCTGGCGCTCACCCGCCAGCAGTGCTTCCACCGCGTGTGCGACCGCGCGCTGGCGGGGCTGCACAGCGTTCGCAGCGTGGCCAGCCAGCTGCTGGCCGCCGCCCAGCTGCTCAGCCTGCCCGCCGGCATGGGCGTGCCGCTGGGCGCGGCGCAGCAGGCGGCGGTGGAGGCCGTCGTGGCGCGCGGCCTGCGCACGCCCCACGCCGGCATCGGCCCCGTGCTAAAGCTGGCCCGGGTGTGCGGCCCCGGCGGCGTCGACCTGCTGCCCGGCAGCCCCGTGCCGGCCGCGCTGCTGCACGCTGCGGAGCGGGTGCTGCCGCAGGTCACCCGCTGCCAATTCCTGGCCGACATGCTGGCGGCCTGGCGCCACCGCGGCTGGCCCGCCTCAAGGGCGCTCGTAGAGGCCGCGCAGGCGGGGGCGCTGGCGGTGCTGCGCGCGCCGACGCCGCCACCGCCTTGCGAGCTGCTGCCTCTGCTGGAGGCCTTCACCGAATGGGGCTGGCTGCCCGGCGGCGAGCTTGCGGCGGAGCTGCGCCAGGCGGTGCTGCTGTGCCTGCCGACGCTCGACGCCGCCTGGGTGTCCTCCGCGCTGTCGTGCTGCCGCAAGCTGGGGCTGCTGCCGGATGAGCGGCTGCAGTGGGCCTTTGTGGCTGCCGCGCAGGCAGTGCTGCCCGGCCTCGGCCCGGAGCCAGCACTGGCTCTGCTGGCCAGGCTGCTGATGCCGCTGGAGCAGCAGGTGGGGGAGGCGGGTCATGGGGGGGGTCTGTGTATGTGCTGAGGCGTGGGGCTGTGTTTGTGAGGAGTGTGGCGAGGTTTTCCTGGCGGGATGCCCTGTGCACCGGCCCCGCGCGCGGGATCCCTGCAGCAATGGTGTCGAGGCATTTGCGCCGTAGCCATGAGATGCGTGTGGTCGGTGTGTGTTGCCCTCTGCCATTGCAGGGCTGGCAGCTCGGCACGGCACCGCCCGCGGAGCAGGAGGCCATGCGGTTGCTGCTGCTCCAGCTTGGGCAGCCGCTGGCCGGACTGCAGGGGCTCAGGGTGCCGCCCAAGGTGGGCTGCCGCCGGCATGCGCTCGACCCTGATGGCCCGGCTTGTGTATGCCAGTGTGCTGGTGGCCTCTCACGCTCTCTAGTGTGCCTGGCGCCTGTGGCATGCTGCGGGGTCAAGTGCCGGGGCCCTCTCGGGCAACAGCCTCATGTCCTGCTGGCCGTGTCTGCCGTGCCCGCTCCCCTCCCTGGTGCAGGAGGTGCGCAGCCTGCTGGGCTCCGTGGCACACTGCCTGCACCTGCTGGCAGCGGTCGGCGCGCGACTACCAGAGCCGGAGCTGCAGGCTGCCTGCGCTTTCCTGCGGCTGCACCAGCGGCAGCTGTCCTACAAGCAGGTGCAGAGCCTGCGGTACGCTTTCGATGCCTGGCAGTACGAGGGGCACGGCCTGAAGGACCGCCTGGATCGCCCGCGTTGGCAGCCGCTGGCCATCAATGCTGGGTCTGCCGATGATGCGGCGGAGATGGTGATGCAGCAGTGACGGAAAGGGACCCCTCAAGCCCCTTTGCTAAGCACGCCAGCTCCTGTCCTGGCCACTCTGGCCGATGTGGGTCCCTTTATGTTCTCAGTTGCTCTCACAGATGACCTACTGTGTCGCGACAGCCATCAGAAGGTGTGAAGCAGTGCAAGCAGCTCACTCTGGCGACAGCAGTACCTTCACTCTGCCGACAGCAGTACCGCATCTGTCAGTATCATCTTCTTGTAGGCTCGGAACTGCACCGGCAGGATGCTGGCGCCGCCGCCTGGCTCTGCCACGCCGCCAGCCTCGCCGTCGCCTGGCTGCTCGCCGGCCGCCGCCTGCTGCAGCAGCATCTGCGCCAGAGCCGCGCCAGAGCCTGCCGCCGCACCAGCATCCAGCAGAGGCGCCTCGCTGCTGCCGCCGTTGCTGCTGCTGCCGCCTGGTGCAGCCGCGGCTGTCCCACTGTCCGCAGCATGGCCAGCTGCTTTGCCAAGGCCCTCGCCAAGCATGCTGCCGTGCTGCCGCTCGAATGCTTCCACAGCGGCAGCATAGTGCTGCTGCGCCGCGCCCCAGCAATGCTGCTGGTCCCCCGCCTGCTGCTCCCAGTCTGCCAGCCGCCGGAGGTCTTGAAGCAGAGGGGTGGGCATCCCCCGCAGCAGCTCCCGGCAGCGCAGCCCCACCGCTATCCGCATGTGCTGCTGCCAGCCGGACCCCAGGTCGGCCACCCCGCCGCCGCCGCCGGCCTCCTGCCGCGCCGGCTGGCCCGCCGCCGCCGCGGATTCGTACAGCGTGCGGTAGGCTGCCAGCAGCCGGCCATCCACCATGCCGCCGGCTACGGGCAAGGGGAGAAGCCAGCAAGTGCCAGCTGATCGAGCGGCAGCAGGCAGCGTTCACAACCCCAGACAACGCATGCAGGGTGCGCTGCCCAGGCCCCTCCCTCGGCCTCACCTGACAGCTTGACCCTGGACAGCTGCGCGCGGATCACATCTGCCTCTGCCTCCGGCACCGATGCCAGCACAGCCTCTGCAGCCGTGGCTGAGCTGTCCTGCTGCTCGGCGGCGTCGTAGGCAGCAGAGATGACCAGCTGCAGGTGCTGCGGCGGCATGGCGCCGGTGGGCAGGAAGGCATCCAGCCACCAGTCCACGCCGGCCTCTACGTCTGCATGGACAGCACGGGCGAGACAATGCAGCATGATGTTAGGGCATGGGTCATACTGCAGTAAACACATCTCTGGTGGTCTTGGGAAAGGCACGATTCACCACGGGGGCGGGGAGGCATGCAGTCGGAAAACACACATGCAAAGCAGAGGCAGGAGCCGTGCAGAGCAGAGAGCGGCAGGGCAGGTGGAAACAGCCGACCTGGGAACAGCGCCACGTCGTCGTGAGGGTTGCGGGGAGGCAGAAATCCGTAATGCAGGAAGAAGCTGTCGTTGTTGCGCTCGCCTGCAGCGGTACAGCGGTACGGTGCCGTGGCAAGGCAGGAAAGAAGCAGAAGCGGGTGTGGGCATGAGTGTGGACGAGGAGCGGCCGGCATGAGTGCGTGGGCGAGCTAGTTGGGTTGAAGATTGGGGGAGGGGCTGGAGGGCACTGAGGGTGAGGGCATGCCGCGGCAGAAGACAGGAGGCCCACCGTACGACAGCAGCAGCTCCTCTCCGGCGGGGATGTCCCGTGTGGCGCTCACCACCATCTCCCACTCCCCCTCAGCGCTGGCCGGCGCCTTGAGGTCCCACCTGCAGCCACCGGCTCAGGTGCGGCGAGCCAGCCGGTGCGCTTGGGAGCCTGCAGGTGGTCTGCAGGAGGCTGAGGAGGGCCTGCGGCGTGCCTCCAGGACACGCAGCAGGATTGGCGGCGCCGCTGGCTGAGAAGCGCCGCGTGCCGGCGGCCCCTGCAGGCTCCTGCCTGCCTGCGGCCTCACCTGACATTGTCGCAGGCCTGCACGCTGGGGTCGGCAGCCCCGGGAGGGCTGGTCAGGCAGTCCCCCCCATGGTTGAGCATGTCCACAAGCGGCACCAGCATCCTCACGCCCACGCCGCCCGCGCTGCTGCGCCCGGGGGCGCCAAAGGTGCGTGAATGCACCACCTGGGAGGGGGAGCAGCAGCGGCGCCGGCAGCAGCACAAGCGTGAGCAGCGGCAGAGTGCCGGGGGGTGGGCGCCACAGCAGGCCCAGGGGATCCTCCAGCAAGCTTAGCAAGCGAGCAGCGAGCCGAGCCTGCGTGGGCAGCGGCAGCAAGCGCCCGCAGCAGCGCTCACCGACAGCGCCCAGTCCCACTGCTCCCGGCTGAAGCCGCCGCCCTGCTGGCAGGCCGACATCGCCAGCCAGCTGGCATGGTCCAGCTCGCGCCGCATGGGCTCGTACTGCAGGTACCGCAGAGTAGCATACTGGTACCGCACTGTTTGCTGTGGTACAAAAAGGTATCGCCAAAATGTGATGGTATAGCAAGCGGCTTTTTGGGTGCCCAGCCAGCGCTGCGAGGCAGGCCACACCAATCACATCCAACATAGTTGCTGAAACAAGCGCGGCTCCCACCTCGATCGCCTCCACATCCTCCCAGCTGAAGGTGGTCAGCGGCGAGGGCACGGTCCGGGGCAGCACCTGCAGCCAGCCAGCCCGCCAGGCCTGCGCTCACAGCCAGCCCCTGCATCGCCCGGGCAGCCCCTGGAACGCTGCGGGAAACATGCACAGCAGGGGTGCCCCCCTTCCCCCTTTCCTCCCCGATGCCTACGTTGAGGTACGGCTGCCAGGGGCAGGCGTCCCCCTGCTGCACCATGACCAGCAGCAGCCCAGCCAGCCGCACGCTCCAGGGCTGCGCATCCGCGTCAACCTCCTGCTCCTCGTCCCCCTCATCACCCTCGCCCCCCTGGTGGTCCGTGATCGCCATCCGCGTGCCCAGCCGCAGGACGGCCTCCCCCGCTGCAACAATTGAGGGAGGGTGGAAGAGACAGCATGGGCGAATTGGTTGCGCAGGCCGCCGGATGGGAGGCATCAGCCCTGCAGGCTAGCTCCTGGTGTTGTTGACCATAGGCGATGCGCAAGCCAGCGTGCCCACCTGCAATAGGCTGCAGGCTGACCACGCCTCGCTCGCCGCCCTCCCCTTCGTACAGCGCCACCTTGCTGTCGGCGGCGCCCACGCCCTCCACGCCTGCAGGTGTTTACAAGCAGAACGTGGGCGGCGGGCGGGCGGGCAGCGTGAGCGCTTACTGCTGGACGACACCCGATGCCTCGTGATATCGCATGGAAAGCAGGGCGCTGCAGTGCTGCTTCCACCCACCATTGGCCAGGGCCCAGCGGAGGAACGCCTGCAGCGCAGTGGTCGCCTGCTCTTGCGCCGCCGGCTGCGCTGCCGCCGCTGTTGATGTTGTCGGAGCCCGCTTGCAGCGCCTATCTGGCGTTCTGCTGCTTCTACGAGCATCTGGCAGCCTACTGCAGCCCAAATTAGCACGGGCTGGCGAAGGGAGGGCAGCCGAGCGCCGGGGCCTGGCCACCGCAGGGGAGCTTGGGAAGAACGTGGATGTTCGCATCGATCCCCACCAAGACAATTCAGGGGTGCCAGCCCGGCTGCAAGCGCAAGCCAGCACAGCCCGAGACGATGACGGCGAGGAGGCCCCCGAGTGTTGAGCCACCAGGCAATTCCAAACTCTTTTGACGTTCTCGTGGAATGCATCGATCGAGCAGGCTCGATGACGCCAGGCTGACTGGTTCTGACTGGGCAGGCGAAACCCTCTTGCTGCCAGCAGTGCTCGTCATTTCTCCCGCGCTGGTTATCACACTGCTGCGCTGCGGGCGCATGCCTATGTTGTTAAGCAGCAGCAGAGTTTGTGGCAGGACCCCCGCGTGACAGAGCTCTCCCAAGCAAATGCAGCTCCTGTGGCATTTCGGTGCCGTTGTAGCGGCTGCAGTGGTGGTCGTATGGCTCTACGGTCTGAACTTGCGGCACAGATGGCGCACCCGCCACCTTCCTGGCCCCCGCCCCGCCTGGCTCGTTGGTGCGTCTGTGCCGCCACCCGTCTCTGCCGCCATGTTGGTTTGCAGGCAGCAGCCAGCCAAGGCAGATCCTGGTGCCCCCTTTTCGTTTGGTTTGTTCTAAACAAAAATTATGTTTGTGCACAGAACAGACTTGAGGTGCGCGTGCCTATCTCCAACCCACCGCTCGCTGCTGCCGCCACTCCTCCTGCAGGCAATGTGATGCAGATGGGCCCACAAGGCAAGATTCACGAGGCGCTGCAGAAGTGGGCGGCCGAGTACGGCTCCGTGTTCAAGTACTTCCTGGGCAGGCGGCCCTGCATCGTGATCACTGGTGAGGCGCCCGGGGCCGCCCGCTGCGGGCTGCTGCCGAGGCCAGGCGCCAGTGCACGGCTGTGTCGCCCGCGCGCACCACCCCTGCTGGTACCGGACCCGCTGCTCGCTGCAGACCCGGACCTGGTGCGGCAAATCTGCGTCAAGCGCTTCATTGACTACCACGACCGCAGCCTGGTGAGCCCGCCGCGGAGCACCTGCGGGGGCCTGGCTGTCTCGCTGGCGCCCCATGCAGCCGCCCGGCGTGCCGATCGCCCTGTGAGGCGGCAAGTGGCGACCCTTGCAGCGGGCTGGCAAGCGGGCTGAGCAGTTAATTGAACAGTTGCGCTGAGAGTGAACCCGTCTGCTGTGCGCCTCCACCCCGCAGCCTGCCCTGGAGATGGGCGCCGCCTGCGACAACCACTTTCAGAACAGCGGCATCCTGTTTGCCAGGTGGGCGCAGCGGTGGCTGCTGCTGCCCGCTCCCCGGGCCCCCGCCGCAGCGCAGCTTCCATACCTGTGCGTGCCTGCCCTACCCGCCCTCGCCGCCGCTGCTGGCCCGCAGGGGAAAGTATTGGCTGGGCATCCGCACCGCATGCGAGCCTCTGTTCCACAGCGCAGCGCTCGCCAGCTACGCGCCGATGATGAATCAGGCGATTGACGAGCTGTTGGGCAAGATGCAGGCGGCAGCGGTCAGCGGAGAAGGTGGGTGAGGCGTAGCCCGCTGGCGGTGGGCCGCACCACCAGCTGTTCAGGGCTGGCTTGTCCCCGTGCAATTTTCTTCACGCCTCCTCTCCCTCCCACATGCCCAGCAGGCATCTGCGTCAGCGAGCTCCTGAAAGCCATGAGCATGGATGTGATCGGCACCTCAGCATTTGGGTGGGCTCTGCTCCCTGCTGCCGGCTGCACTCGCCGCCATGCTGCACGCTTCTCTCAGCCAAAGTGTCGGGACGGCGCTGTTGAGGCTGGACCCTGCCCCACGCCTTCCTGCATGCAGTGTGGAGTTTGGGGCGCAGAAGGAGGGCAGCGGCAGCACGCTGGTCAAGGCGGCAGAGGCGATGTTCACTCCCATGGGAGGCCTGCCCTTTTGGGCCGCCATCCTGTCATTTGCAGTGCCAGACCTGAGGTGCGCTGCCCATCTGTACTGCCTGTCGTCCTGCATGCTGGGCGTACTGCACGTTGCCGCCACGGTACACGTAAAATGTCTACCGTATCGGACCAAGGTTGTACGCATCCGTACTGCCTGCAGGCGTGTGTGGTACCGCCTGGCCCTGCTGCTCAACCCAAAAATGATCAACCAGACAGTTGCAGGTGGGCTGCCTGGCACCATGTTTGCGCTGGCCTTGGGGGTTGCGTGGCTGCCAAATGGACACACACCTGCCTCCTGCTCCTCTGCTCTTGTGATCCACCTGCAGACCGCCGTTACCTGTGGGGGGCATCACAAGCGCTGCTGGACAGCGCCCGCAAGCAGGCAACCGAAGCAGGGGCGACGGCAGGAGGGCAGGGCCCGGCTGCGGCCAACGGGCTGCGGAGCAGCGGGGAGGAGGGAGCCAAGGTGGCGGTGGAGTCTGTCGCTTTCCAGCAGGCGTACAAGACATATGTGGCTCAGGTGCCGCCTGAGACCAGCGTCGTCAGCAGACTCAAGTGAGGCCGGGGCAGCCTATCCAGCACCTGCGGTCCATCCTGCTTGTCATCCCTGATGGCCCGCTGGTGTTGATGCATGTGCGCACCATGGCGCGCCCTCCACACGCGCCTCGCTTGCCTCGCAGGGATGCGGTGAACAAGCAGACGGGCAAGCAGCTCTCTGATCTGGACATCTGCGCTCAGGTGGGCAGCCAACCGGGCAGGCAGCCTGCTAAGGCGCAGCACAAGCTCAGCTGCCCCGACCAGCCCTTGTGCTGCTGCATTTCCTTCTAGTCAACTGCGCCGCTGCAAGGTGGTCTTCATGCCACTACAGTAGTTGTGTGCATGGCCTCCGCGCGCTGCAGCTCTTTACCTTCCTGCTGGCTGGCTACGAAACCACCAGCCTGGCGCTGTCGTACGCGCTGTATCTGCTGGCGCAGCACCCCGAGCACCAGCGGCGCATCCAGCAGGCAAGCGGTGCACGGGGCCCTGCTGTCCCCTATCTTCATGCGGCTCGATTGCCTAGCTTACACAGCAGGAGGAAGAGGAGACAGTGTGCTGCTTGTACTGCCTTGACTAGAATCGTACCGCGGCCCCGCCACGCCCTGTGTAGGAGGTGGATGCCTTGGGGCAGCGTGAGCTGGTTTATGAAGACCTGGCAAAGTTGCCGTATACAGGTCTGCCATGCCGCCAGCTGCCGCCACTCCCGCCGTATGTTTGCCACAGCAGCCCGCACCAGGGCGTGTTCCTGCTGCTGCGACACCTCCATGCCTGCAAGTCATGCTCACAACTCCTGATGCTCCTTGTGGCGCAGAGGCGGCGTTCCAAGAGTCTATGCGCCTCTACCCGCCAGTCTCTTCCCTGATCGCCCTGGTGAGCTCGCGTGTGGGCAGGGACTTCAGCCCTGCAAGCTGCTGATGCTGGGCTGGCTGGTACTGAGCCAACCTGCTTCTTTGAACGCTGTGGCTTGCCCCAGGTGCGGGAGGCCGGGCATGGAGGCGTAGACCTGGACCTCACTGGCGGCAGCCGCAGGAGCCTGGCCACGCCAGCAGCGGGGCCCACCAGCGTGTTCATTCCAGGCGAGCTGCTGCCGCTGGGTTGCAGCGGTACAGCGCCGCCTGCGTGCATTTGATGTGTGAGTGAGTGCTGCTGCTGCGGCAGGCGGGGGACGCCATCCTCAACAGCTGGTTGGGCGCTTTCCACCCTGCCCCTGCAGACAACTGCCGTGTCATGTTCAACATTTGGACGCTGCACAGGGACCCTCGTTATTGGGAAGCTCCGGAAGAGTTCAGGTCATATAAGCTGCGTGGGGATGTGCAGGCCAGCAGCTGGCCCAGGTGCTAGATACGGCGCCCGATCATAACCGACTCCCACCTGCCACCCGCTGCCTCCAGGCCCGCACGCTTCCTGCCAGACGAGGCGGCCAGCCACCACCCGGGAGCGTACTTCCCCTTTGGCCTGGGGCCCCGCAGATGTGTGGGCTGGCGGTGGGTTGCAGCATCCGCTCATGCAGTCTTCCCCGCTCCGCTGCCCGCTGCCACACGGTGCCCGACCAACTTCCTGCCTCTCTGTGGTGACACTGCACCGCCGCTCTGCACCCTACCATCTCGGTGACAGCTCCCTGCCCCTGCTCTTCTGCGCCTCGCTCGCCGCGCAGGTTTGCGCTGGAGGAGGGCGTGCTGTGCCTGGCCCGCATCTTCCAGCGCTTTGAGCTGCGCCTGGACGCCGAGCGCCACACCGGCCCGCTCGACCTGCGCAGCAGTGAGTGTGAAATCTGCCGGCGCCTGCCGATCGGCCATAGCAGGATGAGGAGCCGTTGCTCGCCTGCACTGCTAGCCATGACGCACAGTCCGAGACTGAAGTTGGCTGCTGTGGCTTGGGTGCAGGTGTGACGCTGGCGCCGCCCAAAGGCATCTGGCTGAAGGTACACGGCCGGGAGGCGTAGCATGTGATCTATCACCAGCCAGGCACAGCGTCCAAGCATCCTCCAGCAAGCCATAGAGTCACGAGCGACCTCTGTTTAGCGTCCCCTCGCTTTGCCGTAACTTCACCCCTTTTGCTGCGCTGCCGCCTGGCGCCGCCACCCCTGTCGCCACTGCCGTCGCCGCTGCCACGCATTGCCTCACAGTAGCTGGGTGTGTCAATGCAACCGTCGATTGACAGTAAATGAGTCGATCGATGAAGTGGAGTGATTTCTGTACCTTTCTGTACGTGTGAGCGGTCCAAGGAAAGTTTCAATATGGAGGCAGGCGATGTCTACAGGCGCTCACTTCCATCCAATCTGTTCGTCATGGCAGTGAACAGATCCCCTCGCACCATCATGCGGCACGCCCTGGCCTTCTGGCTGCCACTCGTAGCCCTGCTCACGGGAATGCTCCTCGGAGCGGGCATCAAGGATCGGTGAGCCTTCCAGCGCTGTCTGGCAGAAGCAGGGGCGCTGGGGAACGCCACTTACGTGCTGCGGGCCTTGCAGGCTTGGCGGGATGCCGGCGGCGGCAGTGACGGGGCGGCGGCACCTGCGGCCGACACTGCAGCCTTGGATGGGCGCCTTGGATGAAGCAGGTCGGCTTGGACATGCTCTGTGGCCACGCTTGAAGATCACCTCTCCTATTAGCCAATTGCACCAGCCAACATCCCGTGAGAGTGTCCCCCCCGGCCCGCGACTGCAGGCCAAGACGCAGCAGCCGCCCCTGGCGTGAACCCCGCGCCCAGCCTCGCGGCATTCGAGCGGCTACAGGTAGGCCGGCAGGCCTGGCAGGGAAAGCAGGCCACGTGAGCCAACGCCTCTCCATCAACTCATCTACATACGACACCACCTGCAACAGCCCCTGCACCACACCCCCTTTTGTTAACCGCAGGCCACCCCGGCGCTCGTGAGCCAGGAGGCAGCTTCCTTTGCCGCCGAGTTCCAGGCGGCGCCCTGGCTGCTGCCGCCGCGCACGCCTGCGCTGCCCTGGGCGGGGGTGCACGGCTTTGATGAGCTCATGGCGATGCAGTCGAGGCCCGCGGGCGGCTACCCGCGCAGCGTGGCGCTGCTGCTCTTCAACAAGGCCTTTGCGGTCATGGCTCAGAACAGCAGTGAGTGCGGCGCCCTGCTGGGCACGTCCGGCCGGGCCTGCGCTTGCCGTGCTGCCAGCTTGTGTGATGTGCAGTACACCTCGTGTGCGTGCCGCAGCACACCTCGTGTACGTGCCTGTTGGGATATTGGCGGGCCGGCTGCCTGCTCATCATGATGTGCCGGCTCACGTGCCCGCTCGCCTCCTCTCCCGACTCGCCATCCCTGCCACCGACCCTGCAGTCTACTCCCTCATCAAATTCGGCAACGTGAGCAACCATGTGGTGCTGACGTGGACGGCCGATGACCTGGCGGCCTGCGCAGACCTCAACCTGCCGTGCGCCGACGTGTCGCACCTGCTGGCAGAGCCGCTGGCGGCGGCAGCTGGTGCGGGAGAGGGAGCAGGTGGGGGCCGCTGGTGTCGCCAAGCTGCGCGTCTGGTCTCGCTGCAAGCGGCGAGCATGGGAAAAGGCGGGCCCAGCACAGCCTTGGCGAGCCCCGCATGCTGCCCCCTGGGCTGCACATGCAGGCACCGCGGCGGGGTGGGGCAAGCATGACTGGCTGGCCATTGTGTGGCTCAAGCCTGCAGTGGTGCTGCATGCCCTGCAGCAGGGATATGTCGTGATGCTGGCAGGTGGGCGGCACGCCAGCAGCAGCAGCAGGGCTGACACTTAGCTGCCAAGGCCGTGTGCCTGCCAGCCAGCGGCTGCCGCCTCCGCCCTGAGCCCGTGTGTGATGCCACCTTTCCTCTGCCTGCCTGCCTGCCGTTTTGCTTTCTTCCAGACGTGGACATAGCCTACACCGTCAAGCCGGTGTGGGACAGCTACCTGGCCTTTATGGATCAGGCGGGGGCGGATGGCGCTTTCCAGCACGAGGACCCCGGTGGGGCTGCCTGGCTGGCTGCCTGGCTGGCTGCGTCACAGCCGTGTGCAACCATGTGCCATCATGCCAGCCTGCGTGCCCAGCGCCAAGAGGCATGCCATGACCACCCTGCCCCATGCCCACTCGCCTCCCGCTGCCTGCCTCGCCCCCCTCGCCCCCCTGCAGTCAACACCGGCCAGTTTGTGCTGCTCCCCACCCCCGCCTCGCTGGCCTTTGCCGAGCGCTGGAACTCCCTGGCAGCTTCCATGATCCCCCAGGGGCTGGCCACGCAGCCGGCCCTGCGCCAGATGCACCACCACCACTTCGAGGCGTGCACCTCGCTGTGCCAGTGCTTCTGGGCCAACCGCAACGTAGGGCGCCCGCCTGCCTGCCTGCCCGCCTGCCTGCCTTTTGCCTGAGTGCGTGCCAGCCTGCATGCCTACATGCATTTAATGCCACGCAGTACAGCAGGTACAGGATGCCCAGCTGACTCGTGGTCCCTTGTGTCTCCGCCCCAAGCAGTTGACCTCCCTGGGGCTGAGAAACGACACACCCATCTTCCGCACTTACTACCCAGGCTACTTTGCCTACACTCAGGTCGGCACTCATGCTGCTGCTCAGCCGCCTGCCGCCCGCCTGCTTGCCGCCCCGCCCGCTGCCCGCCTGCCTGCCTTTTCTATGTAATTTCACGCACTCCATTCCACAGCAAACACCGTATGCCCGAGCAACACCTTGAGCAGGCACACAGGTGGACATGGCGCCCAACCCACGCCCTTGGCGCCGCCCTCCTCTTCCCTCCTCTTCGTGCAGTCGACTTGTGCCATAGGCAACCCGGCCTGGGTGGCGGCGCTGGACCCCTGCGACTGGCAGCTCCTCTTCCTGCATCCCATCTGCGCCACAGACACAGCACAGAAGGAGGCCGTGCTGCGCACGGCGGGCTTCTGGTTCGTGGACAGCGAGCAGGGTGAGCAGGGCAGCCCCTTTCCCTGCTGCATCCCCTGGGGACAGCCTGAGTCGGCGCCTGGGCGCATGCCGTGCGCCCGTCGTTGCAGCCACACGCCACGCTGTGGTCATGCTTTGCTCCACTGCACGTCCCAACTGCTCCCGCGCGTCCGCAGGGTGCGAGCCCCAGCAGGGAGCCGCCAGCGGGGTGCCCGCCTGCCGGCCGCTGCAGTGGCGGCTGCCGCAGACAGAGGCGCCGCACTATGCCTGCCCGCTGGCCGGCAGCCTGGCGCTGGTGCATGGCGGCGAGCCGCCAGCGGCGGCGGCGCTCAAAGCAGGCGCCAGCAGCGCCGAGGCCTCCAAGCTGCTGGATGATCCGTTCAATACCACCAAGCCCGGCATGTGGTGCTAGCTGGTGGTGGCACTTGGTCTCCCGACATTATGCAACACTGCCGCCCCCGCACACCAACAAATCGTACCTGACACTGTCAGCACTGCTGCGCTACATCCTGTGAGAGCTCCACTTGTGGAGCGGGGCGCTACATGGGCCAAAACTGAAAGCTGGCTTGATTGGCCAGCGGGAGGTAAACACTCAACAACAGGAGGCAAGGAGTGTGGGGGAGCTGCTGCAAGCCGGCAGAATGGCTTCTGGGCACCGCCGGTGCAGCAGGCTCAGCAAGGTGGCTGGCAACAGGCTATGGCAGGTGGCTGCCATAGCTTCGAGGTATCAATTTGGGGTACCGGATGAAAGTGGGGGAGGAAAACAGATGCATCTGGAACGAGAGGTGGTCAAGGGGATTAAGCGGACTAGGGCTACTCTAGACGTTGCATAGCTCAGCAGGAAAGCAATACACATGGGGCGGTGCGGCAGGGGCAAGGGTGGGAGGGGGAAAGCAATGAAATGGGCCGATTTGATGGGAGCGTGATGGCGAGAGCCTGAATGGAATGATGATGAGCTTCCAGCATTCGTCGATTGTGTGTGAGCAGAAGGCAGAGGGCCCAGATCTCATGCGGCTCTACATGCCATCGGCCCCAAGCGGGGAGCGCGGCGTGTGCGGGCTGCAGTCGGCGGCCGCCGCCGCCATGGCGAAGCCATCCGCCGACGGCGCCTCTGACAGGCTGACCGAGGCCGCCGCCACGGCGCTGGCAGCGCTGCCGCTGCGGTCTAGCCGCCCGCTGGCCGGCGGCGGGCTGGTGGTGGCCGCCTGGCCGCCGCCGCGGCCGATCGACTCCACCAGGCGCGACAGCGTGCCCGCGGAGCGCGCGCTGCGCTCCGCGCTGCGCCCCCGCCCCTGCCCGCCGGCGCGCTGGATGCGCTGCTGGCGCTGCAGCTGGCGCCTGCGCAGCTGCTGCTGGCGCTGGCGCTGGCGCTCCTTGCGGTACCGCGTCTCCTCCTTCAGCTCCAGCTGCACGCGGTGGCCCAGGGAGGAGATGGAGATGCCCGCCGCCCTCGCCGTCAGCGCCTGCATCACCTCGTGGTAGTAGATGGAGCCGTCGTCGTCCACCTGGAGCAGGCTGGTGGCCAGCTGCTCGGTGTGGTGCTGCAGCTGGGGCCCGTGCGGGTGGCCGCGGTACCCCAGCGGGTACTCGATGCTCGCCAGCAGGCCGTGCAGCTGCGATGGGGCGGGGGCGGGGGTGGGAGGGCAGCCAGGCGCGGCTGTCGGATGGCAGGTGGGGGAGGCAGCAGGCAGAGGAGATCCCCTACTCCTCTGTCCTGCCTTGTGTGCGATCCCATGCTTCCCAGCCCTGCCTCCTGCCCTCGACGCTACAGCCACGAAATGGCTGTTCCCACCTCGGCGACATTGATGAAGCCCACGCCAGCGGGGTCCAGCTCGCTCCACCGCTTCTTGAACTGGTCAAAGTTCTCGGGGGTGACCTGCGCAGCACGGCGGCGGCGGCGGCTGTCTGAGCGCCGGCGAGCTACACTGCTGCACACTGCTTGCTGTCTGGCGCCCCCCCACACGCATTGCTCCAGCCCTCAGCCTGCCACAGCCAGCCAGCCAGCCAGACGACAGTACGACCAAAACACGCGCCCGGCAGCTTCTCGGCGGCTCACCTGCGGCGGCTCCTGGTTCAGGGTGTATGCATCCACCACCACCGCCAGCACGATGCTGAGCAGCAGGAAGGAGCAGACAATCATGAAGGGGACCCAGTAGAGGGAGGCCAGCGGGCTGCCGCAGTCGTCGGCGGCGGGGTCGCAGTCGGGCGGCTGCACCATGGTGTCCAGCTGGTACTGCTCCCAGTTATCGCCTGCAGTACCAGGCGGCACGACAAGGTATCGCACCATCAGCAGCATCGAAACCACAGCGGCAGCAGCGAGCCACGCAGCAGGAGCGCAGCGGCTGGGCGAGCAGTCGTGTTGGCTTCCGGGCAGGCTGCCTGGCGCACCCGTGGCTGCGTTGGTCAGCATCATCATCGCGTTGCCGACGTTCTGGAAGTTGAAGAACACCGTCATGCCCTGCCCCTCCCTCATCAGCTCCGAGCTGGGGTGCACGCCTGCAGGGCGGCACGGCATGGGTGCGTCATGTGGATGCCCAGCAAGCCCACACATCGGGATGGCATGATCTCACATGGCACCTAGAGCTTTGCCGGCGCCCCGCCTGCCAGCAACACTACCGAGCCCGGCTGGGGGCACAGCCATTCCTCCAGCTGGGCGTGCCCACCGTAAAACAGCTGGGTGCCCAGCACCGAAAACATGAAGATGAAGAGGGAGAAGACCAGGATGGCGTTGGCAAGAGTGGGCAGGGTGATGTACAGGGTGGTGGCGATGCGGCGCAGGCCCGTGGCGTGCTTCACAGCCCTGCGGTGAGGTTGGGGAGGGGCGTGCGGTGGGAGGACACTGGTGTGGCTGGGCGCGGTGGGTGCTGGGCCGCGACCAGGGCCGGCAGCGCAGAAAGCGAGCGGCGACACATGCAGGGCAGGTCCAGCGCTGCCCAGCCGCACCTCAAGATCCGCAGCGCACGGATGGCTCGCAGGGCGCCCACGGCTGGGCCGGAGGAGATGAAGATGCCTGCATGATAGGGCAGTACGAGGAGTGCTTGGGTGTCCAGCGGTCGCTGAGAAAGGTTGTGATGGGGCCGTTTTCAGCATCTGCCAACAGCCAAGCATGCGACGGCCAACCGCGCACAGCAGTGGCGCTGGAGGCGGCGGGCTCACTGGGGACAGATGCCCAGGTGATCAAAAAGTCGAAGCAGTTCCAGGCATCCCCAAAGTAGCGAGCCGGATAGAGGGCCACCAGCTTGATCACAGACTCGAGGCAGAAAAGGATGGTGAAGGCGCTGCAGGCAGCGGGGACGGGTGGCAGTACAAGGCGAGCGTCAGTGTCGGCATGAAGGGCTGGCCCTCAGGCCCCCGCCTCCGCTGTGGATGCCACTCACTCGTTGGTCCACTGCAGGGCCTGCATTCAAGAGTGGGAGCAGGGTGGGCAGTGAGCGATGGGTGACGAACAGCAGAACATCCCGGGACAGCAACGCAGCCGGTCTCCCGCCCTCTGCTTCACCTCGTCCCAGCCCGAGCCCTGGCCAAAGTGCTGCAGGCTCATGACAACTCCAGAGACAAAGATGAACGCCAGCATGACCCAGTCAAACAAGGGGTGCTGCGACCAAGGAGAGACGGCAGCGGCTTGGTTGAGGAGGCGGGTGCGCGAGTGAAGCAGCAGGTGGGGCAGGGCTGGGTGGCGAGGCAAGCAAAGCAACGGAGAGCAAGGAGGGCGCGCTCGGTGCTCCAGCCAGCAGGCCTGTGCGCTGCATGCCCAGGGCCCAGCCCATGGTACCGCCCATGGTACCGCGCCGCAGGCCCTCACCATGACCAGCGTGTGCAGCTTGCGTCGCAGCGGCTGGCGCGGCGAGCGGCCCCGCTTCTCGGGCAGGTCCCGCAGCAGGTGCAGCTGCGACTTGACCCACTCCTTCTGCCCCTCTGTCAGCATCACGCCCATGCCCTGCCGCTCCAGCTGCTCGTTGTAGGCATCTACAGTCAGGGGATGGGGCAAGTTGGTAGGGGCAATCAGTGCAGACAAGTGGGCTACTTGAGACCCCCCCGACCCAGTCCAGCCAGGCAAGCGCAACTGCCACCTCAGCGCGGCGCACCTAGCACGACGGATATGAACAGGTTGAAGATGAAGAACTGGGCCACGCACTGATAAATGGCAAAGAAGAAGATGGCCTCCACCGACTGCGCTTGGCAACGATGGGAAGGCGAACACCGTGAGCGGCAAAGCTGGTGGTGGCAGTGGTGGGGAAGGAGAGGAGGCCAGAGGGCAACCAGCCTGGCTTGCTAAGCTCGCACACACGCCCCATGCCTCATCTAAACGCCTGCAGTCCAATCCAGCCCAGCGGCCAGCACGCGAGCACTCTCCTTTGCAGCCAGCACCACACACAGGCATGCCCACACACATTCCCAACAGCGCCGCCTCCACCCACTCTCACCGAATAGTTGGCCTGCGTGTTGATGCCCTGCCCAACCGTGTCGCTGGCTGTGTACATGGCGTCAGACCAGTTTGCCCCCGTCATCAGCACCGTCAGCGTGACCAGCGAGTTCCAGAGGCTGCAGGCGGGGCAGGGTGGCGGTGCCGTTGAGTGCAGGCGAGCACGTTACCCATGGGCTCAAGCCTTGAAAGAATAAAAAGAAAAGCATAGCTGGGTGGCACACCAGCAGGCAATGCAGGTTGTGCTATTTGTGTGCTGCAGGCTGTACTGCCACCCACACCGCCCACTCACTTGTCGAAATTGTAGTACGTATTGGCCCAGATGCAGGGCGTGCCGTCGGGGCCGGACCCCGTGCACTGCTCCTGGTATCGCACGTCCTGCAGATGTTGCAGCAGGGCGGCGGGTACGGCAGCTGCGTGGCCTCCTGCTGGTCGTGCCAGCAGCCCAACCAGACCCCATGCACCACCAAGGTCCAGGCCCCTGCCTCCCCGCCCTCCCACCTGGCAGGTGGTGGGGTTGGTGGGGTCTGAGCAGCAGGTGTCCAAGGTGCAGTAGTGCTCCTCTCCCATGAACAGCTGCACAGCAGGATGCGGCAGGAGCAACAGGAGAGGGGAGCAGCGCCATGGCGTGAAACGGAGAGGGTCGGGCGACGGTGGCAGCAACCAGCAGCCATGCACAGGGCAGCCACAAAACCGCTCCAGAGCTGCCTGCACTGAGCTTGCCTGCATGCCCAGGATGGCAAAGACCAGCTGCACCAGCACGGCCACCGCCAGCACATGCATCATGCTCATCACCGATGTGACCAGGCACCCCACCACAGCCTGCAGGCATGGACCACGCGGTCAAGCGAGCAGGGGACTGGCAGCTGGAGCAGCAGGTACGGCCAAGACATAGTGCCAGGAGCTCTGGCAACGCAGGCAGCAGGGACCCTGACAGCACACGTGAAGCAATCCCGGAGGAGCAGGTCACCGCAAGCTCTGCGGCAGGCAGGCCCCCAGCCCACCTTCATCTGCTTGCTGCGGGCGATGAGGCGCAGCGGGCGCAGCACGCGCAGCAGGCGCAGCGCCTCCACCCAGCCCACATGCGCCAGCAGCTCCGCCAGCACAGAGGTGGACACTACCGTGAAATCAAGCCAGTTCCAGGGGGACCGAAAGTAGCTGCCCTTGTCGGCAAGCTGCAGATGGAAGCAGGGCATGTGGCCGTGTGGGGCAATGGTATGCATGTTTTTTTGTGGGCCGGTGGTGGTGATTTGGGGTTGGGGGGCGTGCACACCACGAAAGAGAGCACACAAGGCTTGAGAGGACGCATAGACACGCCTCCAGGCATGCCCGGAAGCGGCTCCAGCGAGGGCGGGCGCGGCAGGCTGGCCAGGGCGCGTGCATGCATCTCACCGCGCCCAGCGCCAGCATCTTTGCCACAAGCTCCGCGATGTAAAAGGCCAGGCAGCCCCACTCCATGTCAGCCAGCAGGTCCGCTGCAGGCGCAGGGGAAGATAACAGCGCCATCCGTGTGGGTGTGGTGCTGCCGCTCTTGGTGTGTAAGTGCGGGTGATGGGTGGGGTGGGATGGGGGCCACAGCAGCCAGCCAGGATGCCAGCGAGGCCAGCCCCCGCCATGCAGACTCCCGGTGCAGGCACCGGTGACGGCAGCGCCCCGGGGCGCCCGGACCACACGTGGGCATGAAGCCGCCACCGGGCATTTGGGGTGCTGCGCGCCGACCCGGCGCTCACCCATGTGTGGCGAGTTGCCGGGGGTCTCCAGGGCCATGACCCCGCAGTTGAAGAGGATGACCAGCAGCACCAGCCAGTCAAAGCGCTTGTCGTCCACCACCGCAAACAGCGCCTGGCGCAGGCAGCTGTGGGGTGGCAGCAGCCACAGGGCGCGGCCTGCAGCAGGGCAAGGCAGCGCGGGGCAGGGCAGGGGGGTGCAGGAGTGCCAGGTGGGCGTCAGGCGCAGGGCACAGCTGCACGGGCAGCCAGCAGCAGGCGGCCCGAGCCTCGGCATGCATGCACGCATGCATGCATGCGGCTGCAGAAGCTGACGAACCAAGCAGAAGCCAGCGGTGCCTACTTTGGTAGGTGGAAAGAGGCTCCCCCTGCACTCCCTTCCACTCCGGCCCGCATGACACGGTCCAGGCCAGCCACGCCCGCACCCGCCGCCGCACTTTGGCCGCGGCAGGCGCGCTGCCGCCGCCGCCGCCGCTCTCGTCGCCTGTGTCTGGCTCGCTGCCAGCTGGCGCGCGGCCTGCGGGGTCGGACTGGAACGAGGACAGCCTGGAGGTGGCTGCCGGGTTGTCCTTTGCATCCTTGAAGAAGCTGCTGCTGCTGGATTGGGAGTAGGGCCGCAGGTCGGCGGCAACAGGCGTGCGCCCGTTGGCGGACGCCGCCTCCACATCTGCCCCCTCCTCATCCATGCCCCCGCTGCCGAGCGGAGCCAGCCCCGGCGGCTCCCCGCGCGGCGAAGCCGCCTCCTTGTCCGCAGGCGACAGCTGCGGCTCGGGGCTGCCGCGGTTGGGCAGCACAGGCTCGAGCCCCGTCTTGCAGCACGACAGGCGCCGCCCCACGCTTGCCGCCAGCTGCCGCAGCTGCAGGGCCAGCACGCGAACCCAGCAGGGCAGGGAAGTCAGCACATGACCATCAACGAGTGTCACATCCGACAGTGCGCAAGCTTGAATTCATACGCTGCACCCTCCCTTGCTACACGCTGCCCTGCCAACTCTCTGCTCACCTTCCGCATGAGCAGCCAGTCTTTTGGCCCCGCCCTGTCTATGGAGGTGCCCTCAGACTCCTCCAGAAAGAGCTCATACAGGATGGCTATCAGCAGGTTGAGGATCTGCAGGGCAGGGAGAGGCGGCGGCAGGGGGTGTTGTGTTATGTGGTGTGGTATTGGTGCTAGGACGGGGTGGTGCGCATGGCATGTGTGTGTGGGAGGAAGGGCGGAGCTTGGGCTGCCACCCCCTGGCTGCAGCGTTCTGTCGTTGCGGCAGCGGTGCGGGCACGAGGGCCACAGCACAGGGGCAGGGAGGAGGGGCTGGCGACAGCGGCGCAGCGGGGAACCCACCAGGAAGTTGCCCAGTACCGTCACGGCCATGTAGTACAGCACCGCCCACCCCTGCGTCTTGTACATCGCGTAGAACACGCTGTCCTCCAGCGATCCCGTCATCGTGTCAAACACCACCACCAGGGAGGAGCCAAAGGAGTTGAAGTTGAGGCGCGGCGCGCCTGGGTCGGCGGGGTCCCACTTGCCGCCCAGCACCAGCATGCCCAGCACCGCAAACAGCACCACTGCAGCAGCAGGGGCACGGAGCAGGGAAAGCATGGGTGGTGAGTCGGCGGATGGGCATGGGCCGGTTGTGGGCCAAGCGGGAAGAGGAGTGGGCGGATGGGGCGTGGCGAGGGTATGGGCGAAGGGGAGGGATGGAGGTGTTGGGCGGGCGCTGGCGCATGGCTGGGGCCGACCATCCACACACACCCACCACCCGACCAGCCACCCCGCCCCTCCAGCCACCCACCTGTCAGCGCTACGATGCCGAAGAAGGCCAGCGTGCGCAGCAGCACCTTGACCAGCACGTGCAGGAAGCGCTGCAGCGCGGGCAGCACGGTGAGCAGGCGCAGGAGGCGCAGGATGCGCACGGCGCGCAGGCTGGACAGCCCCCCCGAGGAGGAGCCGGGCGCGGAGGATTCGATGAAGAAAGAAGCCAGGGCCACCGCCGTGACGATGAAGTCGTAGCAGTTGAAGGGATCTAGAAAGTAGGAGCGGCCCCAGGCCGACACCTTGAGCGCCGCCTCCGCCACGAAGAAGAAAGTGAGGATGTTGTTGGCGGTGTTGAGCCTGCGCGGACAGATGGGGAAGGGGCGGAGGCCAGCCAGAACACCGCAGCAGCGGGTGGGAGCAGCAAACGTGCATCAAGCAGCAGAAGCAGCAGCCAGCGGCGGGCAGCCAAGGGCCTGCGGCCTGCGGCGCCGAAGCTTGCTGGCGCCGATCGTGCGGCGGCAGCAGGGGTCTGCTGCACAGCACCTCACCTGCTGGCATAAACGTTGCTCATTCCATAGTAGGGCATGCCCAGCACGATTGTGTTGGCCAGCACGGAGCTGATCACTGCGGCCTCAAAGGCCCAGTGGGACACACAGCCACGCAGCCAGCGCCGCCACCGCCACTCCGCGGCGCTCCCCAGAAGGCCGGGCAGCGGGGCGCTCCAGCACGCCATCGCGCGCGCCGCAAAGCGGTCCCAGCGGCGCCGTGCCCAGCCCACCGGCACCCCCACGCCGCTCTTCTCCGCCTCCTCCTCCTCCTCCCGCTGCTGCTGCTTCTCGCCCCTCATTGCCTCTAGGTACTGATCCCCCAGCACAGCCAGCACCAGGGACAGTAGGAACCTGCAGAGGCGGGACGCAGGCCAGGCGGACAGGTATGCGTGTAGGCATGCAGGAGGGAGGCATGGGGGACGGCCACCCGCAACACACACAGGAACGGCGGGCCGCATGCGGCAAGAGTGGGGGCCGCAGCTCACCAGCCGATCAGGACTTGGAGCAGCGCAAAGAAGAAGCTCCAGCCCACGGTCGCCTCCATCAGGTAGCTGGTGGCCTGCAGGGGGCACAGCATAGGGCACGCCCAAGATGGGCAGGTGGGAGCGGCAGCGGCAGCAGGCCCAGCGGCGGGCGCACGCGCTACTGCCGGGCTGCGGCAGTCCAGGACAAAATTTGGTATTATTCTGTTACTTATTTTTGGCTCACCATGCCCCACCACAGCGTGGTGATTATGAAGAAGTTGTAGACTAGGCCGGTGGCCAGGTTGTTGAAGTTGAGCTGGCCGTACTGCGGCGGCTGGCCCTCCTGCAGGCACACCTGGTCCACGGGGCACCTGCGGGGAATAGTGAGGGGCACGAGCACACGTGGCTTGGTCAGTGGGGCCTTGTGGGGGGGGAGTTTGCAGCGGCGGCTGGATAACCTTTGCCATGCACCACAGCTTAGGCAGGGGGCACGTTGGCGCCGCCTCTGCACGACAGCGTGGCGGTCTGCTGCTGGCAGCCTCACTGCGGGCCCTCCCAGACATTCATGGTGCTACACATGATGCCCTCGTTGGCTGCAGGCGTGTAGCCCGCATCCGAGGTGGACCCCTGCGGAGGGAAGGGCAGCGGCTGGCCGCCGGGCCCGAGCTCGAAACAGTTCTGATGCAGAGTGCCTGCAGGCATGGGAGGTCAAGACGGTGGCGGCGCTGCTCGGCAAAAGCCAATGATACAGCGGCCAGAGAGAAAAACAAAAAGGCAATGCATGCGGGCATGCAGCGAAGCCAAATGCCGCGCACTCTGATAGAACTGCAGCCCGATGATTGCAAACAGACACATTAAGAAAAGGGTCGCGACGCAAATCTGGACCAGCATTGGCAGCGAGTGCAGCACGGCGGTGGTGCAGGCCTGCACACAGACAAGAGCAGCTCAGGGAGCGGCTCGGGGCCCGGGCATCGTCGAGCGGGTGGCGGATCGGCGCCAGCAGGTGGAGTGCGCCCAGGCAGCTGCTTTGCCAGGCAGGCAGCAGCGGCCCTTCGCCCGGACGCACAGGCACAGGGGCCTACCTTCATGCCCGGGAACAGCGTGATGCTGCGTAGCGCCAGCAGCAGTCGCAGGGAGCGCGCCGCCGCGGCGCCGTTGCCCACTCCCGGCAGGAAGGTGATCCAGGAGGCGATGATGACCACAAAGTCGAGGCGGTTCCACCCGTCCCGCAGGAACGGCCGGCGCCGCTGCCACTTCCGGCTCCGCCGCCGCTCCAATGCCGACATCTGCCGGGGCTGCTGCGCAGCGCCACCCCCGGCGCTGCCGTCTGCTGCTGTTGCTGCTGCTGGCTCTCCGTTTGGCTGGCCGGCCGGGAGCGTCAGATCTACACTCGCCCTACCGTCCACCACCACCACCGTGACAGCAGGGTCTAGAACGCCGCCGTTTGGGGCTGTGTGCTGCTGTCCTGCCACATCAGGCTGTGCTGCGCTAGGCCTGCCGTAGTCGTCGCGGCGGCACTGCTGCTGCTGTGGCGCCTCTACCTCCAGCTGCTCTGACAGCTGCTGCGACGCCTCTGGCTGCATTTGCCCCGAGGGCCAGGGCGGCAGCAGCTCCGAGGGCTGCCCCCGCTGCAGCTCTGGCGGCCGCGGCGGCGGCAGCGGCCCCGGCCGCTCCGGCAGCTGCAGGTTCCGCGCCCTGCGCGCCGACATGAGGCGATCCAGCTGGGCATCCCTCTCGGGCGCTGAGCCCGCGCGGAGGCACAGCGCGCAGGCGCCGCGCAGCCGTGCTGTGCAGGCCTCCCAGGCGCCCCCGAGGCTCTCCCCGTCGTCCAGGACAAAGCCCCAGGCCAGGCACTTGATCACAATCTCCACAGTGAAGGCAATGGTGACCCCCAGCGAGGCCTTGTCTATCGCCAAGTTGATGCCGCTGTCTGTGGGCTCCAGCGGGTGCCAGAAGCATTGCATCACGCAAAAGGTCAGGGTGAGGATCATGGAGGCAGCTGCACGGCACCGGCCGGGGAGCAGGGGCGAGCTTGTAAATGGCATGCGGCGCGAGCTGCACCGGCGGCGGTTGTTGCCGGTAACACGGCTGCAAAAGGGATTTGAAGCCCCCCCCCCGGGCTGAGCCCCCACCCTGAAGCCACCTATTGCATTGCAACATCACCCCTGTGCATTGCGCCTGCCGACTACCACCCCAAAACAGGCAGGCAGGGAGCGAGCGGAGCGGCAAGGGGGCGGCGGCGGATGGAGGTAAGCCAGCGCAAGCCAACAGAGAAGCTGGCCCGTTCACTCACCCGGGAGCCACCAGCTGCGAGCGATGACGATGCACAGCTTGCGCACGGGGTTTTCTCGGCCGAAGAACAAGCAGGCCGAGGTCACCACTGGCGAGGTGTCCGCATGGTCCGTGGGAGACTCGCTGGGCTCTGCTGTCGTCGTAGCCCCATTTTCAGCCCCACAGCCTGCGCTGCTGGGCGCCGGCAGAACCGGGGCGCCCCCATTCTCCCACCGCTCCCCCGGCTCCATTCGGTCCTGCCTATCAACACAAACGACGCATGTGCAGTGCTATGAATGGGACGATCAGTGTGAAAGGGATGGGATGGCCGCCAGCACCTGGCGCTGACCTGGCCGGCGGGTGGGCGGGTCCGTGTACTGGCACACTGTTCCTTGCTTTGCACATTTGCCTCTCCCTCAAAAATGCACCTATCCGTGGTGAAAGGGGTTCCGTTGTGTCAAACACTACACGCCTGATATACAGCTGCTGCTGGCTGGCAAAGCGAGCTCGGCGCTGCACTAACTGCCAGGCCCGTTGTTCCCCGCTCACAGCCACACCTCATGAACCAGTGTTGGCCAGTGCGCCTAATCCGTGTACAATGTGGTAGGTACAAGATGCTATCCAGTAAGTCAATATAAACTGCGCAACTGCGGTGGTGGGGGGGGCTGGGGGGGTGTACGGGCAGCCTGCCACAGGTGACCCTGTCCAGCACGGGTCGGATGCACACCCTGCCTGGCATCGCATCACTCGTCTGAGCTGCCATTGTCCGCCACCCACGCATCCTCCCGGTCCTGCAGCGCGACACAAGCGCAGGCAATGGGTGCGGACCGCGTCAGCATCAGTGCCCACCACCAACAGGAGCCACGGCACGTGACGAGGCATGCGCTGCGGCCAAGCACTGTGCTGGTTCGGTGCTGCTGCACAGCAGTGTGCTGGTTCGGTGCATGCCACCCATCACGGCGCCCAGTTGCTGGCAAGGCGCTCGCCTGGCTCAGGATGGAAGCCATGCGCCCCTTGATGTCAACTTTCTTCTTCTCCTTCCACAGCCCGGGTGGCAGCAGCGCCGCCAGGCCAAAGGACTCCTCCTCCTCAGCTGCAGGGTGGGGCAGCGGGCGGGGCGCCTGGTTGCAAGGAACGGAGGCGGCCTGTGCCTGCACCGGCAGCGGGCCTGTATCAGCTCACTCAGGCTCCACCGCTCCCAGCCTCTGCTCACCCTGCCACGGCTCCGGCTCGGAGCCATCCACCTCCCAAACAATCAGCTTGCGCTGCTCAAAGTCGTCGCTGCGCTGCTCCTGGCGCCACCTCGCCGCCTGCAGCCGGGGGAGAGGCAGAACGCACACGCAGGCCAGGTAATCATGCTTGAGCACGGCAGCCGTGTGTAAAGAAAGGAATGTCCAAGCCCGGCGGGTGCAGTGGGGTGGGGAAACACGACAGCAGAGCAGCAGGCTGCCCGCCACGGCGGGGCCAGCAGCAGCGACAGCGTGGGCAGCCGCAGCGTGCCAGCAGCTGGCTCACCGCGGGCGACAGGTCCAGAGACTGTGCAGTCATCTTGGACTTAGCAATGTAATCCCCTACCGTCTCCCGCCGAAGCTGGCTGGCATCGGCAGCAGCCGGCGCCTGGCTGGGGGCGGCGGCCACCTCAGCTGCGGCAGCAGGCTGCGGCTGGTCGGGCGCCGGAGCCTCGGCCCGCTGCACCGGCACGCGCTGCTGCTGCTGCTGCTGTGGCGGGGCTGCGCTGGTGCTGGCTGCTGCGGCGGCCGCCACCTGCTGCTGGCCCGCCGGTTGTGTCGGCTGCTGCTGCGTGCGCCCGCTGCCGAAAAAGTTGGGGAGGTTGCTCGGGGCTCGGGGTTGCTGCTGCTGCGGTGTCGGGGCACGTGGCTGCCGCTGCCCAGCCGGGGTCGCCTTGCCTCCAGCCATTGCCGACATCAAGCCCCAAGAACTGGAGGGCAGGCGCTGCGGCTGCTGTCGCGGTGGCGCGGGCACGGCCGGCCCCACACCAAACCGCCCCGCCTGCGGCTGCTGCAGGAGGGGCTGGCGGGTGACGAGGCCACCGCCTGTCGCCGGTGCCCCCACAGTGTCCTCGCCGCTACTCCGCATCACAAGCAGCGTGGCTTCTACACAGACTGTGCCGCTGTCTGCGCCAACAGGCGCCGCCGCGAGCGGCTCTGCTCGCAGCACGAAATCCTGGCAGTCCTGTCCACTCATGCTGCCCAGCGCACCCGCCGCAGCCTGCGCCGCGAGGCGCACCGCCCGCCGCTCGCCATCGGGCGTCTGCAGGTCGAGCAGGAAAGGCGGCGGCATGTGGCGGGGCAGGCAAGCGGCCAGGGAACGGCGACAGAAGCTGGGCTCCTGCATCACAACAGGTGCGGGCAGCACGGGCAGCATGCCAAATTCCTCCTGCTGTCCTGTCCCACTCGCTTGCCTGCAGGTCCTGGAGCGGCGCGGAGCCGCCAGCCCCGGTGTCCACCTGCTGCCCCGTGGGCGGCAGGTCGATGCAGCACAGCACGCCGCTGGCGGCATACAGGGCGCCATCCAGGAACGGCGACTCGGCGGCGGCGCGCACAGCATCAGAGGCGAGATGCATGAGCGCCTGCAGGGGCGCGGGCATGGGTGGGCAAGCAGGCGAGCCAGCGGCAAATTAGGCGAGCTTTCTGATTGATTATGCCCTGCCTCGCGCTGCACGCAGCCACAGAGCTGCCTGCTCCCGCCGCCCCTCGCACCTGTGCCGCGCCCATCTGGTGCGCCGCCTCAGCGGGCATGCTGGCCAGCCCGCGGCCCAGCACCGCGGTGCCCGGCCGCGTCAGCAGCTGCTGCAGCGGCGGCGGCAGGATGCGCTTGAAGTGGCGCATGTCGCGGCCGTGCCACATCAGCGCGCCGCGGGCGCTCTTCAGCACCTCCTCCGCCTGCGGGCGCGGTTGGGGAGGCGGGCAGGTCAACCCAAGATGCTGTTAGCTGCCACCCTGGTAGCACAGCACAGCGCACATTGAAAAAAGTAGGATAGGGATGGCCCGAGGCTGACCACCATCCGCTCCACCCGGGTAGCACAGCGTGCTGGCAGGCGGGAGATTGCAGCGCCGCCGCCCCACCTGCACCGCCTGCAGGATGCACAGCACCGCATGCTCCAGCGCTGTGTCTGCAATATTGGTTGCCTCTGACACCGTCATCTGCAGCAGCCAGGCAGCACACCAGGCGTTCGCAGCTTCCCTCGCAGCTGCTGCACACTGCAGAGTGCAGTGCACGGCCAGCTGCAACTGCTCAACATGCCCCTCTGAAGGCTGCCTGCACGCTCGGCACTGCAAACGCTGCATGCACAATGCAGGTGGGTAGGCGGGCAGGCGTGGCGCCCCACCTGAGCATCGCCAAAGGCTTGCATCAGGACGTCTTGCTCCATCACAGCCACAACGTGCGCGGTGCGCTTCAGCTCCGCAATCAGCTCGGCAGCCTGCATGCATGGGCATGGAGGAAAGAGCGGGGACCAGCAGAAAGCCGCTGTCAGCGGATCTGGTGCTCCAGGGAGAGGGTGCATGAGGACGGAAGGGCATGCGATACATAGCAGCATACATTCAAGTGCACCGCGCGGCTTGCCTGCTCCCTCTTGGCATTGCCCTCAAACCCAAATGGCTGCGTGACGGCAGCCACCGTGAAGTGGCCCGCGGCACGCAGCGCCGCCACAATCTGCAGCACTGTGGCCGCCCCGCCGGGGGCCGCCGCCGCGGGCGCCAGCACAAATGTGATGGCCCCGTCGGTGCCGGCGTTGATGTTGCCGCGGCCGCCGGCGTCCGAGGCGGCACGACCGATGATACGGGCTAGGTCTGCTGCCGCCACCTTGCCCTCGCTGGAAGAAGGATCGTCCTTGGGCAGCAGGAGAGTGTTGGGGGTGGGTGCCGCCTCCAGGGCTGCACGGTCCACATCTAGGCACCACAACTCTGCCTTCTGTACCTGCACCCAGCACCCCGGCAGCAGCAGGGGCAGAGGGATGCCCGGCAGCACAGAAAGTCACGCACCAAACCAGGAGGCGGCTGGAAAGCCAGCAGCCGGCATGAATAGCATGGCAATATCAAGCCTTCCCACAGCTCCAACGAGCCCCCAACCATACCTGGCTGTGCTGAATGAGCTTGTTGATGGCGTAGGCGCCACGGCTGCCTATTCCCACCACCTTAACCTCCACCTCCGGTGGTGGTGGCGGTGGCGTGCGGTCGGTGACCGTCTGCCGCTCCGGCACACTCACTGCCAGCACCCGGCCAGCGCCGCCTGTGCGCCGGCGACTTGGGCCGCTGCCGCCGGGCACACGAGCATGCTGGCGCCGGCTGCTGGGGCTGCGGAGCAGGCCCGTCGCTGGCACCGGGAGGCCTGCCTGCGTGCGGGCGATCCAGAGCCGAGCTGCGCTGCTGCTGCTGCTGCTCAATCTCATGCCAAGCTTGCTGCTCCTGTCGCTTGCCGCGACAGACGAAATGGGGACGGTCAGAATTTGACGGATGTCGTGAATGCGGGTCCTGAAGTCACTGTGGGTCTAAATGATGGCGATGCTGGTGGGTGCGCTACTGCGGTCCCAAGTCGCGCATGAAGGTGCGGGCGTCGGGCACTTCGCCGTTGAACTGGGCTGAAGAGAAGTCAAAGCCTGGGTGCTGCGGCAGGGGGCAGGGGTGGCCAGGTGGGCCGGATGGTGGCAGCGCTCGCTGGTCAGACCAACTGAAGCAACCCGTGGGCAGCCCAGCAGGCGGGCCAACAGGCCGCCCAGCCGGGCAGGCGGGCGCCCCGCCGCCTCCTTGCCTCTTCCTGGAATCGCTCCAACAGCAGCCTCTTCTGGTCGCCCTCCCGCTCCTGCTCCTGCAGCTCGTGGCCGGCGACGGCGCTGGCCCAGGTGGCGCCCTGCTCGCCCTTGGCCAGGCAGATGTGCAGCTCGCCGTCCTCGAGCGTCCACAGCGATTCCGACACCTTGACCGCGCCGCCCAGGTCCTTCTGCAGGCCAGCAAGGAGCAACCAATCAGGGGCAGGCAGAAGCTGGCACCGCAGGGAGACAACGTGGCGTTGGAGACGGCCGGCAGGCAGCGCTTTCAGCTCACGTCCAGATAAGGCGGCAGCTCCTTGATGCCCACAGTCAGGTGCTGCGGCTTGATGGAGATGGCCAGCTGCTTGGCACGCACGCCTTCCGGCAGCTCGATGTAGATGTTGACCTCGCTGCAAAACGGCAGGGCGGCAGGGAGGCGCGGGGCGGGCGGCTGTCGACGTTGCACCCTGCCCTGTGGCCCGGCTCGGCGGCTCGGCGGGCGCTGATTGGTGCCGCTGCATTGCATGGGCGGCGTGCAGCCCCGCACCAGCCCTTGGAGCCCTTCATCCCCTTCCCGCTAAACTGATCACTCGTTGTTCCCCGCCTGTTTGGGTACAGGTTACTGATGTTGACACACCTGAGCGATTGGTCCCACTGGTAGATGGTGCGCCCTTCGTGCCGGTATGTGTGTCGCTCCTCCGACTGGGCCAACTGGGCCATGTGCTGGGGGAGGCAAACACAGCTAGGCAACAGGCGGCTCTGAGCCTGGCTTCCACCACTCCTAGCGAGTTGGGGCGATCGGGTAGGGCCCAGAGGATCGAGTACTTCAAAATTGGCGCCACGGGGGCAGGCGGGGAGATGGGGGGGAGATGGATGACGGCCCGAGCAACCCGCATGGCAATTATTTTGTGCAGCCATGCATTGCCATGCGAGTATGGCCGTGCAGGCCTCCCACTTGCGACGGCCAGTCCCCCTTGCGCCTGCCGCTCGCGGCGTTTGCCCCGCCAGAACTGGCAGACGACACAAAGGGAGCAATGCTGGTCACCGGGGCACCCTATTATCCTGGCACCGGGAGCCGCTGCAGGCCGCGGAGCCCCCACTCCGGGCTGCAGCTAGCAGCAGCAGCGCAGTAGGGCCGGCGTCAGACACCAGCACCAGAGACGCTGCCCGCAGCAGCCACCAAGCTGGCGGCGTGGCGTCGGCGGCGGCCGGCGGTGTCACCGCGCCCGAGCAGCTCCGCAGCAGCAGCAGCAGCAGCAGCAGCAGTAGCAAGCAGCAAGCAGTGGGGAATGGAAGCATTCGGGCGGCTGCAGCAGCGGCAGTGCCCAGCGGCAGCAGCGGCAGCAGCCTAGCAGAGCAGCCGCCCGAGACGGGGCTCGTGCCAGATGCTTGGCGGGGGCCCCTTGCATCCAGCAGCGCCGCCGCTGCTGCAGCGGCCGCGGCCGCGGCCGCCGCTGCAGCCAGTAGCAGCAACGGCAGCCAGGCGCAGCTGCCGGCGGCGTTCCCGGAGGTAGCAGGCGCCGCCACGGCGTCGGCGGGGATCGGGGTGCTTGGAGGGCCGGGCGCGGCAGAGGCTCCCGCGGAACGATCACGCATCCGCGACTCCTGGAACTCTCTCATGCGCTGGTCCCGCTACTTCAGGTGCGAGGGGCGCAGCAGACGCATTTGCAGGTTTCCATTGGCCGGGGCCTGCATGCTGCTGCATTTCATTGACTCATCAGCATAGTCGCTGACGTGCTGTTGGCAGTCGTCAGCAGTTCCTCCCCACCTCGCGCCACACATGTGGGTGTATCCACCACCAGCATTGCGACCACCCGCACCCTGCCTGGCTGCCTGCCTGCCTGGCGCAGGTCCAAGGAGGAGAGCAACGAGGTGCTGGACAAGCTTGAGAAGGTGGTGGTGTTTGGGGGCGGCAGCTTTGGCACCGCCATGGGCGTCTGCCTGGCGCGGCAGAAGCAGGACCTGCAGGTGGGGCCTTGTGTGTGTGGATGGTGTTAATGGTGGTGGTGCCGTGTATGTGGAGTGGGGTGGGCTGGGCAGGGGGCTGCGGCTCTGGGGTGGCTGGCTGGCTGGTTGACGGGACGTCCCTTTTTGTTGTTGTTGTGGTGGTGCGCATGCCTGCAGGTGACGCTGCTGCTGCGGGACCCCTACCTCTGCAAGGACATCAACGACCAGCACTGCAACACGCGCTACCTCAAGGTGTGTGTGTGTGTGTGTGTGTGTGTGTGTGTGTGTGTGTGTGTGTGAAGGCGGAGGCGGAGGGGTGGATGTGTTCCACCTTGCGGCAGGATGAGGCTGGATGTCTGGCTGGGTGCAGCCTGGGCCTCGGCATGCGCCGAGTCGTGCTTGCCTGGAGGAAGGCAGGGCTGCGGTCGCAAAGAGTCTTGCCGCAAAGAGGCTTGCCGCAAAGAGGCTTGCGGCCGCCTTCTTTTGAGCGGACCTGCCGTGGGCCCCCCACAGGACTACTCGCTGCCGCCCAACGTCACCGCCACCACCTCGCCACGCGAGGCCATTACCGGCGCGCAGTTTGCCATCCACGCCGTCCCGGTGCAGCACACGCGCGCCTTCCTGCAAGGCATCAAGGCAAGCGGCGGCCGCCAGGACCCCGCTGGCTGCTCCCCAGCCCTGATCAGCGCATGCTGCTCTCTACCCGCGCACACGGTCGCTGTCATCTGTCTGGCGGAGCCTTGGGCACCCCACGGCAGCCCAAGCACCGCTGCTGTTCCGCTCCTGGCACCTCTCACTGCTGCACACTGACTGCCTGCAGGAGCTGCTGCCCCCGGGCCTGCCCATCATCAGCGTCAGCAAGGGGATTGAGGTGACCAGCGGGCAGCTGATGAGCGAGGTCATCCCCTCGGTGCTGGGCAAGAAGCAGCCCACGGTGTACCTTTCGGGTGGGGCTTGAGAGGGGCTGGCTGCCTGTATTGGCTGCCTGCCTGCCGAGGTAGCTGGCGCATTGGAATCCTCGCCAGCCCAGCGCTTGGGTTCCTGTGTTGTTGCTGAGCCGTGGGCCCCTGGCCTCTCTGCAGGGCCCAGCTTTGCCAGGGAGGTGATGATTGGGCGGCCAACCTGTGTCGTGGCGGCATCCAAGGTGTGCTCGCCAAAAGAGGCCAAGTGGCCTGGGCCTGTGCCCCACATTGCTCGATCGCCGGATGCGTGCGTTGGGGGTGTGGCAGCGAGGCGCAGCAGCTGGTAGCTTGCTGAAGGTGGGAGCCCTTGCGGCCCGCCTGCCCGCCTGCCTGCCTGCCTACAGGACAAGGCGCTGGCCCGCACCGTGCAGCGCCTGTTTGCCTCCCCAGACATGCGTGTGAATACCACTACTGGTGAGGGCAGCAGCCCTGGCAGGGAGGGCCTGGCTTCCACTGCATTTGCAGCTGCCGTGCTGCTTGCATGCATGCCAGCCTCCCGGCACGTTAGCAGGGGCTCATGCTCCAGGCAGCCATGCCGCAGCAGGCAACCGCGGTGCCCTGCCGCCTGTCTGCAGACGTGATTGGCGTGGAGATTTGCGGGTCGCTCAAGAATGTGCTGGCCATCGCGGCGGGGATTGTGGAGGGGCTCGAGCTGGGGCCCAACGCCATGGCCGCGATGATTGCGCAGGCGCGTGCCTGCCCTGCGGCATCGCCCCTGGGTTGACATCAGGCATGCCGGGCAGCCTGCCGCACCCCTGGATGCGTCTCGGGCGGCTGCATGGCCTCGCGGCGCCCCCCGTGGCACCGACGCCTGGCCATCTCTCTGCCTGCAGGGCTGCGTGGAGATCCGGTGGCTGGCCACCAAGATGGGCGCCAAGGCGTCGACCATCAGCGGGCTGTCAGGTGGGCGGATGTGGGGGAGGCCCTGCTGCTGCTCGGAAGAAGCGTCGGCGGGGAGGGAGGGAGCGAGGGAGGCGGCTCCACCTCTTTTCGGCACGCAACCGCACCCGCCACCCGCGCTCGCACCACCACCCACGCTCCTGCATGCCGCCCCGGCCCCCTGCCGCCTGAGCCTGCCCTCCCCGCACCCCCGCCATGCTGCCCTGCGCAGGCCTGGGCGACATCATGCTCACCTGCTACGGCAGCCTGTCCCGCAACCGCACGGTGGGCGTGCGGCTGGGGCAGGGCGAGAAGCTGCCCGAGATCCTGGCTTCAAGCTCCCAGGTGGCAGAGGGCGTGGCCACAGCAGGTGCGCGGAGTGGGCGGCGGCGGCACGCCATGGCGACCGCAGGATGGGAGGGGTGGGAGCGCCACACTGCCGCGGGCATTGGCTGCTGTCCTGGTGTCCTTGGTACCTCGCCTTGCCCTGCCTGCTGCCAGGCGGCTGCCCCTCAGCCAGGGGCGCGCACCTGCAACTCAGCTCCCGCCGTCCCTGCCCTGCCCTGCCCTGCCCCGCTTTCCTCCTTGCCCTGTCCCGCAGAGGTGGTGGTCAACCTGGCGCGCAAGTACCGCGTGCAGCTGCCGGTGCTGACGGCGGTGGCGCAGGTGGTGGATGGACACATCACCGCGCGGCAGGCCGTGTTTGAAATCATGAACCTGCCGCAGATCGAGGAGCGGTAGCGGCGGCCAGCGGCAGCCCGCCGCAGGAACGGCCGCGCCTCGCCTCCGCTCGGCACCCCGGCGCCTCGTGAACATCACCCATGCCGCCGGCTTGCTGCCCACGTGGCGGCAGCCGGAGCTGCTGATTTGAAACCGTTTTTATAGAGCAGTAGTTTTGGTTCTTCAGTTTGACATTTTCCCTCAGCGCTCTCATCGCTTGTATGGCAGCAGCAGCAGCAGCCACGCCGGCCCTGCCCCCCTGCCTGCCCTGGCACGGCTGGCGCGGCGCTGGTGACGCCACTGACACACTGGCTGTGCGCCTTACTTCTGCTATGTCACTCCATTTCACCTCTTGTTGACGCTGCTGCCCCTCGTGTGACCCACACCCTTTTCACTGCGGTTTTCTCCCCGCGGCTGACTGTCAGCTGTCGCGGGGGGCTTTCCTTTTTCCCCTCTGGCTCCCCGCGTATCACACACACACACATACTAATGTCGTCTCTCTCCCAGCACTGGCCCTCAGAATTCACCATGTTACACAAACAGCGACGCCAGCCAGCACGCTGCACAGCGCCAAGCTACCGTCGCCAGGAGCCGGGCGCAAGAGCCGGCGCGCCGCGCGGCGCACACCATGGCAGGCTGCTCCTGCAGCTCCTCGCTGCTTGCCCACGCCGCGAGCTGCCGCTCGGGGCCGCCGGCGCGCCTCGCCCTCCTCCCTACTTGCCCATGCGCTGCCGCTTCTCGCTGCGAGGCGTCTCGTCCACATCCTCCTCCCGCTTGGCCCGCTTCATGCCGGCCAGCAGGTGCTGCTTGGCCTGCACCGAGCGCTTGAGCTCCAGCAGCTCGATGACCTCCTTCTGCGGCACACGGCAGGGGCGCAGCGCAGCACGGCATGCTCGGCACGGCACAGCGCGCACATCGCGGCACAGCACGTCGTTGTTGCTTGGCAGGTGGGAGTGGCAGCCAGGCACCCAATGGAGCAGCGAATGGACGCGTGGGCCCCACCACGGCCCCATGGGCATGAAGCGGGCAGCGGGCAGGGCGCGGGGCCAGGCGTGCCTGCAGGGAGATGTATGCACCACACACGGCGCGTGTCGTGCAGCGAGGGAACGCGTCCATCTTGATCTCCTGGAGGGCACCCTCCAGCGCCTTGGCCGCCCTGCACGGGCAGGCGAGCAGGCAGGCGGGCAGGCAGGTCGGGGGTGGTGTAAGGACGCAGGCAGGGGCAGAAAGGCAGGAAGCCAGGCAGGCAGGCGGGCAGGCAGGGCCTCGACAGAAGCAGGCAAGCAGGCAGGAGGTTCCGCGGAGGTGCTGACGGGTGCAGCGGGTCACCACCCCCCTGGGCAGTAAGCGGGGCCTACTCACTTGCCCAGCTGCTTGGCGGCCACCGCCTCCACGAGCTCCCGCGCGGCAGCGCCCCTCGCCACCGCCCCCTTCTCGGGCTCCTTGGGCTGCGCCTCCTCGTCAAACAGCGGCGGCACGCCGGGAGCCTCCTCGTTTGTGAACTCGGTGACCTGTGGAGGGGCGGGTTGGGGGGTGGGAGGGCTGGATGCGAGGTTGGAGGAGGCGGAGGGGGTGCGAGAGCGGGTGTGGTGTGGCGGAACAAGAGGAGGGATGGAGCGGAGGAGGCCAGCGGGCGGGGGCGCCGGCCCGGCCAGACGTGCCCCGCAGCGACGTGCCCAGGCTGCAGGGCGCGCGGCGCACCTCTCGTGCTGCAGGCGCAGCGGGGCCCTGGGATCCCGGCGCCGCTGCCGCGGAGGGCCCCGCGGCCGCGCGCCGCGCCGCTGCCTCCGCCTTGCGCTTGGCCTCTATCTGCGCCGCGCGCTGCAGGATCTCGTTCTCCGCCTCGTCCTGCTCCCGGCTGCGCTGCATGAGCAGCTCCAGCCCGCGCTTGCGCTTCTGCTCGTGCTGCGGGTTGAAGGGGTGCCGCACCTGCGGCGGCGGGGCAGCAGGCGGACAGCCACGGGGGAGGTTGGCAGCGCAGGGGACGCCGCGCCAGCCATGGCGCACGTGGCAAGGCATGGAGCGGGAGGGAGGAGTGCAGCAAAGGCGGCAGCCGCCCAGTGGGAAGGGATGGATGGCGGCCACAAACAACTATGCCGAGGCGGCGCTGCTGCGGCGATGTGGTGGCGCTGAGCTGGCGCTGAGCTGGCGCTGAGCTGGCGCCTGCCTCACCAGCGTGTTGTTGGCCACAGACTCCGGCCCGCCCTCGCGCCCCACCAGCAGCTGCCGCGCGACGGAGTAGTAGCGGGCCTTGAGGTCCTCGATGCTGCGCTCCGGCGCCCCAGGGAACTGCGGGGAAGGGTAGGAAGGAGAGCTGGTAAAGCTGCCCGTGCGCCTGCCGCACGCCACATGCACCACCTCCTCTGCACCTTACCGCCACCATCCTCGCACTACCACCACCACAGCTCATACAGACCACACACGGCCACCGGCACCCGCGCCACCGTACGCGTCTGCACTGGCCACACAGGCGAGCGACGTGCAGCCACATCCCCCCGCCTCCCATGCTGCTGTCGCCCCCGCGCCGCACCTCGTATCTGTCTGCGATGGCCACAAAGCGCAGCTCGTAGCGCGCCGCCATGTCCAGCAGATAGTCGGTCTCCTCGCGGGACCACCCCGCCTCCTTCTTGATCAGGCTCTTGTACTCCTCGTCGTTGTACCGCATGATGGGGGGCTGCGGTACGGTGGGGCGGTACAGTGGGGCGGCAGCGGCAGCAGCATTGAGCGGCGGTGCACAGGATGGCGCTTTCTGCCGGCGAGCCAGCCTGGGTGCGCTCGCCGCGCTGCCCTGCTGCCGAGCCGTTCACGAGCAGAAGCACACCCCACGCAGATACAGACACACCACACACACACACACACACACATGACACGCAGGCAGCCCGCCCACCTTTTTGTTGAACTTTGCGAACGAGTACTCTCCCGCGTCTGCCGGCGTCACCCGCCCCCGCGCGTCGCGGTAGCACTTCACCCAGTGCTCCAGCTCCAGGTCGTCGCCGCGCGCCGGGTTGCGGAACTTGCGCCACTGCGGGCGGGCAGGCAGCTCAGGAGGTAGGGGGTGAGGTGAGAGGTAGGCTGGTGGCGCGGGCAGCCGAAACCTCTGCTGCGGTTTGTGCTTGCTGGTAGGCGCCCCAGCCATGGCAGTGCGGGCTCCTGCTATGCTGCCCCGAGCTGGATTCCCAAGCAGGATCCCTCCCTAGCACACCACCAACAACCACACACACCGCCACCAACAGGCGCACAACCGGCGGCCAGCCGCCTCCACATGTGCACCCGCCCACACCTGAAAAGTCACAACGCCACGTGGGTCCCTCCTCGCCTTCTCCTTGAGCCCCGCCACCCCCTCCTTCTTGCGGATGTCTCCCATGAGCTGGGAGGGCATGAGCGGGTGGCTGCCGCTCAGCAGCGCAAACGCCTCCCTGCAGCAAGCGCCGCGGCGGGCGGCAGGTGAGCAGGCGCTGCCGTCGACTGCCCGTGTGAGTGCCTGCTGCCTGCCGTCTGCCCTCTTCCATTGCACCATCGAGGCCAAGCGGCCCATCCACCAGTGCCTTGCCTGCTCATGCCCTTGGGCTTGACCAGCTTAGGCGCCTTGGACTTTTTGGACTTTGCCGCCGGCGGCAGGCCATCCCGGGGCACGCCCAGGATGTCCTTGATATCCCCCATCTCGACGGCTCACTGCCTCGCCAACAGCCCCAGGCGTTCCAGGGGCAGCGGCTGCCCCGCCAGGAGAGGAACCAGGGCAGCAGGTGAGGCGCCCTGCCGCCAGCTGCCCCTGATGGTGTGCCGGGCGGGCTGTTCGCCCAAAAGACGCTGGTGTGGCGACGATGGGGCGCCGCTGCAGTGCTGTCTGCCGCGCCACGACGCGAGACAAACACCGGCTGCTGACAGGGAGGAATGGAGTCCCGCCGCTGCCTGAAAGAGTTTTGGATCGCGGTCCCGTCTGTCGTTGCCCCACACCCGTCCCGAAACGAGGTTTGTCGCAGGGGGAGCGGTACCTGTCGCCGTACATTCCTGCCGCCATCGATCAAGGGGCTTGGACCAGCAGCCAGCTGGTTTGACCGCTGCATCCAATACTTGCGTGCGATTTAGATGCCCAGTGAGGTCAGCGCGGCCTCCCCCGCTGCATTTCACACCCCTGCAGAGCCCTAGCAATAGCAAGCATGGAATACAGGGCGTTGGGCCGCACCGGTCTGAAGGTTGGTCCGAGATGATGCGTAGCGCCCGTGATTGCCGCGCACAGCGCTGAGGGCTGGCCACCCGCCACCCGCCCGCCAGTTTATGGTGCTAGATGCGTTGCCAACTGACAATTGCACCCTGGGAGCTCTGGAGCATGTATGCGGATTTTTCTGCTCCCTCCAGGCTTAGAGTGACCCCGATTGGCATGTGCGCTGTCCCCACGCCGCCGTTACTACACCGTCCCCGCCCGCGGTTTCTATGCCGTATGAACCCTCTCCCAAAGTGTAGTAACCACCCTCAAAATTCCTCTATGCCATAGTAACTGATTAATATGCTAACGTAGCATCCTAACCCGTATGGTTACACCCAGGCCTACCCGCCACCCGCCTGCTGCCGCAGGTGTCCGTGCTGTCCTATGGCGCGTGGATAAGCATGGGGTACCAAATTGGCGTGCCAGAAGCGGCTGCAATCGTCTCCAAGTGCGTAGAGCATGGCGTGAACTTTTTCGACAACGCAGAGATTTACAGCAACGGGCAAGCCGAGCAAATAATAGGGCAGGTGAGCGCTACCTCCTCCCCCGCCGCACCGCTTCGATCAAGCTTGCCCCCCCATGTAAACCCCTCCCTCTCTGCCCAGCAGGCGTTCAAGCAGTTGGGCCTGAAGCGCTCCGAAATCGTAGTCAGCTCTAAAGTCTTCTTTGGCTCAGGTGGGGCCTGCTGGAGAGGGCGGCGCCAGGGTGCCGTAGGAGCTGCATTTGCCACTCTGTGCGCCCACTTGTGGTGCCCGCTGGCGTGCAGGCAGCAGCGCGCCCACCGCCAGGGGCCTCTCTCGGAAGCATATCGTGGAAGGAACCAAAGGTGCGGTGCATGTGAGGGGGCTGCAAGCCGGCCGCATCCGCAGCACATAGCGGCTGGTGCAGCACACGCATGCTGGTGCAGCCCCACCTTGCCTCGAGCCAGCCCAGTCCAGCGGACTTACCTTGACTCCTTGAGCTACCCCAGTCATGTGTCCTTGACTCCACTGCTATAGCACGCTGGCGTTCCATTACTGACCTTGCCGTCCCTTGGCGCCCTGGGTGCAGCCTCTCTGGATCGCCTGGGCCTGGACTACCTGGATCTGCTGTATTGCCACAGACCCGACCCAGAGACGCCCATAGAGGAAACTGTGCGCGCGATGAACTGGGTACGGCGTGGCTGGTGCCAGCTAGCACATGCTGGAGACACGCCACCCCTCTGCTCCCTTGGCATGAGCCTGCCTTGTGTTTTGGGCGGTGCAGGTGATAGACCAGGGCTGGGCATTCTACTGGGGCACCAGCGAGTGGAGTGCGGCGCAGATTGAGGAGGCATGGAAGGTGGCGGATCGGCTGGACCTGATTGGGCCAGGTGTGTGGGACGTGCTGCTGTTCCTCGTATCTGCTCCGCAAAGGCCAGCCTGGGCTGCCCTGCTCTGCGTGTATGCTCCCACATGCTGGTTACCGTGTTGATGTCGCGCGTGGATCCTGCTGCAGCCATGGAGCAGCCAGAGTACAATCTGTTTCACCGGAAGCGTGTGGAGGTGAGGGGCATGCATGCGGCACAGGTGCATGCAACGGTGCGGAGATTGCGGGCGGGCAGAACTTCCAAGCCTGTCTCCGTGCCCACCCCCCTGCTGCCTGGCTGCCGTGCAGGAGGAGTATGCGCCGCTCTACTCCAAGCATGGTCTGGGCCTCACAACGTGGAGCCCCCTGGCCTCTGGCATCCTCACAGGTGGGCTAGCACCGTGCTGTGACAGGGCGGGGCAGAATCAATGATCTTCTGGCCCGGCCACGGGCTGTGACTGTCTCAAAAGGGGCCGACTTTTGGACGCGTTGTCCCCCAACATGAAGAGCGTGCCACATGGCATCCCCGCCCCTGCCTGCCCTCCTGCAGGCAAGTACAGCGGCGGCACGGTGCCCGATGGCAGCCGCATGACTCTGGAGCGGTACAAGGCAAGCGCCTGCCGGCCTCCCTCACCTCCCCAGCCTCGCTTCGGCCTGCCTCCCTCTGCTCCCATCCTCCTTGCCTGCATCTCTACCCCTCTCCTCCTCACCGCTGCCCGTCGCCCCCGACCTGCGCCGCAGCACCTGGCGCAGAAGAAGCTGGTGGAGAAGCGGCGGCAGATAGACCTGGTGGACGAGCTGAGGCCTGTGGCGGGCGAGCTGGGGTGCAGCCTGGCGCAGCTGGCGCTGGCGTGGTGCGTCAGGAACCCGCGCGTGTCCAGCGTCATCACTGGAGCCACGAAGGTGTCGCAGGTGCGAAGCGCCGCCGCGGCAGAAGCAGGCGGGGCACGCTGGGGAGGCTGGGCTGGCCACTGCTCCTGCCTCCCCGCTGGGGCCATGCGTTGCACCACCACCAGCCGGCAGCCACCACAACGTTCGTTTCTTTACCCCGCCGCGCCCTGGACGTTGCTTTGCAGGTGGAAGACAACATGGGGGCGCTGCAGGTGATTCCCAAGCTGACAGAGGAAGTTGTGGCGACCATCGAAGCCATCCTTGCGCAGCCCTGAGGATGGGCGGCCTGGAGGTCCAGCATTTCGGCCCCTCTTCTTCACTCTGTTGCACAGTATGATGGCATTGAAATCCATGGCCTTTAGCAGGAAACATGTAGCATACTGGCCTGCCCAGCATGCTGTTCAACCGTGGCGGTCGCCACAAGGAAGCAACGGGGCGGCGGCGGCACCCTCTTGTGGCGCCTGCAGCCGCTCGGTCGCGCCTTTGCAGCATACACTGGCCTTAAACCTTTCCGAAAAGACACGTGGGTTCTGTAGAGTCTCCATGTGCCCAGAACACCCCTCGGGGAACGAAGAACTGGTCCGGTCTGCCCGCCCACCTCCGGAGATCCCTTTCTCCTAACCCTCGCTTGATATACCCGGCACCCACTGATCTCTCCCATTTCATCCCAACCAAGGCAGACAGGCGGCCCAGCATCCCCGGCAAGTGAGTGTGCTGCTCGTTAACGGGACTCAAGGAACCCGCCTGTGTTGCTGTGGCGACCTGCTGTGTTGCTGGCCACAAAGGCCAACTAGAGCCTCCTGCAAGCTCAGCAGCATGCCCCTGCTGCGCTAGCAGCCGCTGGCGGAACACTCCGCCCTGATTCCTGAGGCCTGGTAATGTGCCTCATGTTCGCCTGCAGATTTTGACGCTCAGCGCTGGTTGGCCAGTTTCATCACCGTCAGTCGTAAAGGTGGGATGGTGGCTGCGGGACGAGCCTGTTCACGGCTGTCTCCCCGCTGCTCCTCTCCCCGCTGCTTCCCGCCAGCCGCCGCCGCCGCCGCCGCCGACGCTTGCAAGCAATATTGCCCGCCTGTCCATGCAGAGCTACCTTTGCCGAGCTACCATGCGGGCCACCGTCTGCTGCCTCGCCCTCCTGGCGTGCCTGGTTCCAGGTGAGGCATCCAGCACAGAGCTCCCCAGCGCATCACCCACCAGCATCTCATGGCCGCCCCGCCGCTCCCCGCTCCCCTCCCGCGCTCCTGTTCAGGCCTCGCTCAGAACACCGCGTGCCAGAACGCCGCGACCCTGCCCCCCAAGCTCGCCGCCAACCTCACCGCGTCGATCAACGCCGCGCTGTTGCCCAAAGCCGACAACACCTACACCAACTCCACCAAATCAGACTACATCAGCTTCACAACCCCAAAGATCTGCTACAGCGGCAACTGGTGCGTGCCGCCCCTCCCGCCGCCGCCGCCGCTGCGTCTGCTTCTGCTCCTGCTGCGATGCCCGCCCAAACCCCGACCTCCACACGAGCTTCTTCATTTCTACCCCGCTGCTGTGTGCTCCCTGCCCCAGGTTTGGATACCACCTCATCCCCTCTGGCTGCATCCCCAACGTGGGGGGCAAGACATACCAGGGCTCCACCGGCAAGACGGTGTCCATCAGCGGCATCTACGGGCTCAAGGTGAACATCACGGCCTCCCAGACCTCCTGCTCCTCCGCAAACGGCGTCACCACCTCCACCAGCGCAATGACCGCCACTGCCACCTGGCCCACCATCGTCATGACGGCAAGTGTGCTGGGGTGCTGCGGGGCAGCTGCTGCCACGGCTGCCAGGCACGTGCCTGCAGCCGTAGCCCCGCACTTGAGCGCCCGACTAGGCTGCGCCACAGGCAGGCGCCTGGGGTTGGCAGCGCTCCCTCCACCTCGATCGCCCGCCTGCTGATACGTGTGCTGCGCCTGCCACCCTTGCGCCCGCAGACAACTCTGGACTGGTACCCGATGGTGGGCGGCGAGACTGGGATTGGGATCAAGCTTACGATCACGGGCCTGAAGATGGTGATGAAGGTGCGATTGCCTGCAGCGCATCCCACCGGCCAGCCAGCCGGCGCTGGCCTGAGGGAGGCGGTTATCGCCACCATGGCCAGGAGGCCGCCCCGCCATGACCCCCCGGCTTGGCCTGCCTGCTCTCTGCAGGGCTCCTACACCTATGCGGTGACCACCGCCACCAAGCAGGCGTGCTTCACCGCCGCCTCTGTCTCCTCCACCACCATCTCATACACCAGCATCACGGGGCAGTGGATCATTGCAGGATCCCCCGCCGGCGCCGTGCCCGGCAAGGTGAGGTCAAATGCCTCCAATAGTGTCCATCTCTGCACCACTGATTGTGCTCGTCCCCCGCTCTGACTCCCTACTGCGTGGTGCCCGCTGCGCAGGTGACCAGCAAGATCGGCTCAGCACTCGTCAGCAAGTCCACCAAGGTGACCAATACCGTCAACACCAAGCTGGCAGATGACGTGGTGGGCACCTGCAAGAGTTCCACCTGAGGGCTTGTCCGCCGAGCCTTTTCTGGCATTGCGCTGCTCTGCTGGCAGGAGCAGCGTATGAATGCAGTGACGTCCTCGGCGCTGGGCTGACTGCCTGGCTGCCAATTCCAAGACCCCCCTTCCCCCCTATTCTGCACGTTTACCGAGTACACCCTTCTGTCCCTGACACCTAACACCCAGCTTCAATACTTGTGTGACAAAAAATGCAAAGCCACTGCATCACTGGCAAGCTGAAAGCTGCTGAAGAGAGCACCACAATTCACGCCGCCGCCTCAGCCTCCTGCCCTTCAACTGGCTTCTCTGCCGTCACAGTTTCAGCCGGCTTGTCGGCAGCCTCCTTGGCCTCCTCTGCCTGCTCAGCATCGGCTTCCCTAGAATTGTCCGGCTGCTCGGCGGTGGCCTCTGTGGCCTCAACCTGCTGCTCGGCAGCGGCCTCTTCAGCCTGTGGCGCCTCTTTATCCACAGCCTCCTTCCTCCTGGCCTTGCTCTTCTGCTTGGCCTGGGCCGCTGCCGCGCCGCTACTGCTCTGGCTGGTGCCACCGCTGCTACTGCCACTGCTGCCGCTGCTGCTATCATCCTCGCCCTCGGGCGGTCCTCGCGTGTATGGTATCCTCCAGTACAACCAAGAGTAGATTACCTGCGGCTTGCAGGCAGTACGCACGTCACAGGCTACACGCATGCCGCTGGGCAGCCCTGAAGCCCACTCGCCCTTTCCACCACCACCACACTGCCTGGCACACCTGCCACGATAAGGGCTGCTCCCTCTAGTTCGGCCACAGCAGCAAGCCCCTGCGCCACTCCTCTGCTCCCCACCCACCTCCAAAGCATCCCCCACGAGAGGGTCGTACTCGCGCTCCGGGGCCGGCAGCGACTGTGGCTGCTGGTCCTCGGGCACCTTGCGCCGATACCCCTCCAGAAGGTCCAAGGTCACGTTTGCATACGGCCGGTACCCCGTGTAGCTCCACCTGCAAGCCCGCAGGCAGAAGCCGGAGTTGGAGGCGGCCAGGATGGCATCAGCTGGCAGGCACCAGGCTTTTCGACACAGCGGCAGCACAGGGCAGCCACACAGAGGAGCAATGCCAGGGGCCGCCGCTCCACACGGCTAGCAGGGGTCCCGAAGCACGTGCGCCCGCCCTGCCGCACGCGCGGCTGTGCCAGGAACAGACCACGGCGCAGCGACGGCCGCCGGGCTGCCCACGCACTTGCGCCACACCGTCGCCAGCGCCTTTTGCATCGTCTGGACCTTCTCGGGCGGGATGGCGCCCAGAATCTCGGGCACCCGCTCCATGTCCTTCTGCTGGATGCGCACCACAAACTTGCGGTAATCGATGATGCTCTCGAAGGCTGCAGGGCGGGGAGGGTGAGGCAACAGGCAAGCGGCTGGGACTGAGTGGCCACGCTGCGTGCGGCTGCCTCGGTCGCGGACGTGGGGCGATGATGCCACAGGGCGCAGCATGGCCGGCAGGGTCACAGCAGCAGCGGCAATTGCGCGCGACAGTGTGATGGCAGGTGCGCCGAGGGAGGGTAAAGCACTCACCGAGGTGGACCTCGTCTTGGATGATTACGGGGAGGCAGCTGCAGCACGGGAGAGGCGCAGGCGCAGGCAGCGGTGAGGGCCAGGAAGTCGAGGAGGCACCAGCGCCAGGGCGGGCGCCGCCCCGCCGCGCGGCTCCACGTGCCAAGCTCCAAGCCCCACCAAGCCACGCCAAGCCAGGCTGCGCCCATGCGGGCGGCTCAGTGTGGTGCGTGCAAAGGGCTGCGGCAGCTGCACATCTGCAGGGACCCACCCGTGCTGCACCGCATCCTCAAAGCGTGGCGAGAAGCCGTCGCCCGGCAGCACAAAGCAGAAGGTGGAGGAGGCCAGCAGCTGGCTGTAGGTGCGGTCCATATCTGGCGGGTTCCCCTCCCCTATCCAAATCTTAAACTTGCCCCACCAGTCCTTGTCTCCTGCAGGGCGAGGAGAGGGAATCTTCCCCCACGCATCCAGCGCAGAAACGAGCTGGCGAGGCAGGGAGGGGCACACACCCACGGGCTGGGGCTGCCAGGGCAGCAGCGGCCCTGCCCATCACCACCAGCCAGATGAAGACTCACTGCAGAGGTTCTCCAGCGTTTGCCGGATGCCGCGGCTGTAGGGCTTGTTGTTCTGCTGCGTGCGCCCTGCGGGCCGGCGCGGCATCATCACGACACGCTCAGCAGGCTCAGCAGGTGCAGGTGCCCAGTCTGACAGATGCACGATCCACCCAACCTGGCAACACCCAGGGCTTACCCTTGAAGAAGGCAAGAGTGGTTCGGTTGCGGGTGAAGGCTCCCACCAGTGGAGAGAGCTCATACTTGAGTGGGCTGGTCATGGGCGGCACCACGAGGTCCTGAGGGAGAGCAGCGGCGGGGGAGGGTGGGAGGCACACCGCACCAGACCATCAGCACAGCACATCAAAGCACAGCACCGCAGCACAGCGGATCGCAGCGTGGCGACAGGCTGTGGTAGCAGAGGAGGTGGGCTGGCTGCCGGGGCCGCACCTTGGCCGGGTCATAGCAGGGGAAGTCGCCCAGCTTGCCTTCGGTGCCCTCTGGCATGTAGATGGGGTGGCTGCGAGGAAGAGACGGGGACAGCCAGTGCGGCATGGGACGGGACACGTCAGTGGCAAGGGCGGCAACAGGTGCAGGCACAGGCGCAGGCGGCGGCGGTGGAGGCGGAGCCGAGCGCTGCAAGGACAGCAGACTGTGCACATACAGCAGCAGCAGCCTGTACCGCAGCCTGTACCGCAGCGGCCAGCGGCCGCTCACCGCGCGGGCCTGCTGTACACGTCGTCGATGTACCCTGTACTGCTGGTGTGCCCCAGGTCCATGCGCCCCCAGTGGGTCAGCATGGTGGCCGGGCGCAGCACGGCGGGCAGCCAGCAGGAGCCCTCGTCGTGGGACTGGAGGATGATGTGGTCCCTGCCGCCGCTGCGGTCCCAGTACGGGTGGTGCGCCCGCAGCCAGTGGTAGACCTCTATGAGCATGTTGGTGGTGGCATGCACCCGCGGGATCTCTGCAAGTGTGTGTGTGTGAGTGTGGGTGGGTGGGAGGCGGTCGGGGTTGGGGGGTCGGGAGCTGGCGGGTGGGATGGCAGCGCACGAGTTGCAAGGGAGGCACGCACGTGTCGGCTGGCGGATCGATGCAGTCGCCCTGAGCTGCTGCTGGGCTGTGCGCGGCGACCCAGCCACTCACTGTGGAACGCGTGAAAAAATGGCGTGTCCGCAAACCCTGCAGGGGTCACAAGGGCCAGCGGGGAGGTGGCGGCCGCGCGACAAAAATCAC